ATAGAAACAACAGAAAAAGAGCAAATCTATATTGATGTAATTTACAAGAGAATAAATAAAAATGGCCAAATGATGTCTCAGTTTCATGAACAAGCATAGTACCAGTTATAATAATTGAAACTACCTAAGAGGAAATTTTTGACCCATAACACTGGCAAAGATACCATTTAGTGACTTTTTCAGCACTCATTTCTTATGGAACAGTGAATTACAACATTCTTACTATCAGACAATTTGATGGTATCAAGTAAGTCTTAGCAAATTTTGGTTCAAGAGTACTAAGCACTAAGAGTGCTTTCGGGCAACCGGCTTGAGCAATGAGGGTCTGAGGACGTAAACGGGCCCACAGTGCCCCCCACAGGCTAAAACAAACGGCCCATTAGGCAACCTCCTCAAAACCGCTCTAAGCGGGACGCCTGGGCGGCTCAGTTGGTTAAGCGGCTGCCTTCGGCTCGGGTCATGGTCCCAGCGTCATGGTCCCAGCGTCCTGGGATCGAGTCCCACATCGGGCTCCTTGCTTGGCGGGGAGCCTGCTTCTCCCTCTGCCTCTGCCTGCCTCTCTGCCTGTGCTCGTGCTCCCTCTCTAACAAATAAATAAATAAAATCTTTAAAAAAAAAAAAAACCGCTCTAAGCCTTAGCTGACCATTGGGCACAAGTAAAAGGAAAATTCTATACGTTCCCACATTTCCTCACCTTCCCCCGTTAATCGCAGCCCCTCACCACTGACTCCGGGCAGACAGTCTCTGTTTGTGTCTTGCGTGCTGTTCCCTTGCAGGGTGTCCAATAAACTTCCATCTCCTCTATTCTGCTTTGGGTGAATACTTTTGGGTTTTGTTTTGTTTTGTTTTTAAGAATTAAGAGCCCTGGGTGCCTGGGTGGCTCAGTTGGTTAAGTGACTGCCTTCAGCTCAGGTCATGGTCCTGGAGTCTCGGGATCGAGTCCCACAACCGGCTCCCAGCTCCACGGGGAGTCTGCTTCTGCTTCTGACCTTCTCCCCTCTCATGCTTTCTCTCGAATAAATAAGTAAAGTATTAAAAAAAAAAAAAGAATTAAGAGCCCTGGTTTTCTGTGTCTTTAAAAAAAAAAAACACATTGTATTTATTTATTTGAGAGAGAGACAGTGGGAGAGAGCATGAGCAAGGAGAAGGTTAGAGGGAGAAGCAGACTCCCCGTGGAGCTGGGAGCCCATTGTGGGACTTGATCCCGAGACTCCAGGACCATCACCTGAGCTGAAGGCAGTCACTTAACCAACTGGCCCCCCCTTTTTTTTTTTTTTTTTTTTTTTTTTTTTTTTTTTTTGACAGAGAGACAACGAGAGAGGGAACACAAGCAAGGGGAGTGGGAGAGGCGGAAGCAGGCTTCCTGCTTTGATCTCCTGCGCCGCTTGCGGACCTCCACCAGAGCCCGCTGCCCCACGCTATGCAGGAAATCGTTCCCGTCAGTTATAATATTGTTACAAAATAAAATTCAACTGAGTAAATGTTAAAGATCTTATTGGCTTTATTTAATGATTCATAAATCAGACAGCATCCAATCCAGCAGATAGGGCTGTACAAAAGAAAGACTTTCTTTTTTAAGATTTTATTTATTTACTTCAGAGAGAGAGACAGAGTAAGGGAGGAGCAAAGGGAGAGAGAGACTCTCCAGCAGACTCTGTGCTGAGTCCAGAGTCTGACGTGGAGCTTGATCCCAGAACCCCCAGATCATAACCTGAGCCAAAACCAAGAGTCGGACGCCTAACCCACTGAGCCACCCAGGCGCCCCCAGAATGAAAGACTTTTATAGGCAGAAGGGAGCAGGAACAAGGAAGTTATACTAGACAAAAAAGCAGGTTGGCACTTGCAAGGTTGCTTTCCTTTTGGGCGTAGAAAGGGTCTATTGGGCAGATGGCCTAACTTGTGCTGATGAGGCCCAGCTGAAGATTCCGTCTCCGGAAGAGCAGAAACCAGGCTAAGTCTCAGTTTGGGGAGGGGGTTTTGCAGAAGGGACGCCACTTAAGGCTTGTTGTCTTGTTTTCAACAGTATCTATTCCCATAAAACATTCAGGTAAAGGAGACACAACCTCTTCACATAAAGCCTATTTAAGCGTTATATTCTTCACTCAAACTTTCACCTTAATTCTATCAACTCATATATTTCTATATCCCCTCAATCTGACTGAAGCCCATGTTAGGGCTTCACCAGCAGGTGTTGGTACCACAGTACATGTGTCTTCTGTGTCCAGGAATCTCAGGAACTTCTCTTCTTCATCCTCTGACCATTTTACCCATTCCTGAGTGTTAGCTTTGGGTCCCAAGCCAAGGGACCCTGGCCCATGTGTCAGTCTTTGTCTAGGTTAATCTGCCTATTTATTTATTGCACCAGGTGATTCCAGGCCAGGTTTCTCTTTGCCTTCCAGCTTTTTAAATTCCTCCAAACTGGGGCAAATAGAGCAAACTTGTTTGGGGTATTTTAATTTTGGGGAACCAGAAAGGGGTTCATTTGGTCTACCCAATCTTCAATAGTGCTGTATTAAGAACTTTTTTCAACCCCGTCTAGGTCTGCCTTATTTACCTTATTTCTTAATAACCAACTGAAGATTTCTACTTACTGGGAGAGTTCTTTGACTCTCCTGCCTTTCCCCATTTCCTTGTTAACTAATTGAATTTTTTTATTAGTTTCTGAAAGAAAAGCTGAGACAACAAATTTTATAAGATCTCTCAGACGCTTGCTTTTGTTCAGGGAAATCCCATTTTTTTTTTGATTTTATTTATTTGTCAGAGAGAGAGAGGAAAAGAGTGAGCACAAGCAGGGGGAGTGCAGGCTCCTTGCTCAACAAGGACTCCATCCCAGAACCCTGGGATCATGACCTGAGCCAAAGACAGAGACACTGAACCACTTAACCAACTGAGCCACCTAGGCGTCCTGGGAAATCCCATTCTTAGGAGCCGTAAGGGAGGTTTCATTACTTTCACATGATTGATTAAATCATTGGCCATTGGTGATTAAACTTAATCTTTAGGCCCTCTCACCTAAGAGGTCAGGAATGGAGCTAAAAGGTCTAGTCTAATCAAGGTTTGCAGCAACTAGCTCCCATCTTTGTGTTATCAGGCTCCCCCACCCGCAGAGTCACATGAGCAAAAAATACTTCTGTCACTTTGGAGACTCTAAGAGTTTTAGGGGCACTGTTCCTGGTGGCAGCGACAAAAACTAAATATACTTTTTATTATACCATTGCTGTCCTGACGCGTGTGAAGCAGTATCTCCGCTGTGGTTTTGATTTGCATTTCCCTAACGATCAGTGCCACCTAGGCGCCCCCATTCCCTAATGATTAGTGGTGTTAAGTATATTTTTGTGTGCTTATTGGCCATCTGTATATCTTATTCGGAGAAATGTCCTTTCACGTTCTTTGCTCCTTTTTTAATTGGGTTGTTTTACTGTCATTGAGTTGTCATTCTTTATATATATTCAGGAGATTAATCTCGTATCAGATACGTGGTTTACAAATATTTCTCCCATTTTGCGGGTTGCCTTTTCCCTCTCTCCATCATGTCCTTTGACAGACAAAGGTTTTAATTTGATGAAATACAATTTGCGTATTTTTTCCTTTGTTGTCTGTGCCTTTGGTGTCATCCAAGACATCATCCCTAAATCCAGTGCCGTGAAGTTTCCCCCTATGTCTTCTTCTAGCGGTTTCAGGCCTTACCTTGACATCTTTGATCCGTTTTCAGCTAATTGTCTGTGGTGTCGGGCAAGAGTCTAACATCATTCTTTTGCATTTGCTGAAAGACTGTCCTTTCCCTAATGAATGGTCTTGGCCACTTTGTTGACAATTACTTGACTTTATATTGAGGGTTTATTTCTGGTCTCGTGGAATAGTCTTCCGTTTTCTTTTTCAATCCTCTAGATCGTGACCATTCGTAAGACAGAAACTATGTGAAAAATGTTTTCATACGAAGAGCGGTTTGCTAAAATGAAGGCAGGAAACTTAATTCAGGTAAGAAACACACAATGCCGCGTGGTGCGACTCGGCCCACACGACGCCCACGAGACCCGGGACCGAGCCGCACCCTCAGCTGAGTCTGACACTCCGCCCTCAGGAAACGCAGCTTCACTCACCCGCGCGCGGCGTGTCGCCCAGCCCGCGTCTGCCCTCCCCCGCCACCGCACCCCGCAGGCGGCTCCCGCGGCCGGACGCCGTCGGAACCGTCACCGCCAGCTCCGGAAAGCACGCCGAGGCCTTGATGCTCTACGAGTTGGCCAAGCTGCGGAGAAGCCGCGCCGTCGCGCTCCCACAGGCGCCACATCGCGGCAGGCTCTGGAGGAGACGCGGGCGCGACCTCTGAAACGGGCGCCAGCGCCGAAGCCCCTGGGAGTTAAAGACGGTCACGGACTCCGCGGCTGTGCACACGGCACCTCCCTCGGGCTACTGCCATGACGTCAGCAGAGCGTCCATCCCGTCCGCGCCGCTCGTACCGCGCAGTGTGCACGCGCGCCGCGGGTCGCCCGGCCGCAGCCACGCAAACGCGCGTTACGGTGCTGCGCAGCCGCGTCCCAACACGCGTCCGCTTTGAGCGCGGAGTCTGAAGCCGAAGCCCCGGTGCGACCGCGACGGCGACCGCTCCGCCTGGGAAGAAGCGCCCCCGCCCCCACCCCCTGGCCGCACCCTTGCAGGCAGAGGGCGCGCGCGCCTCCAAGGTCTCGCTCCTTCCGCGGTGCGCGCAGCGTCTGGTGCGCCGACGCGGGCCCGGCCCGCCTGCTCGGTCGCTAGCTCCGTAGTTCGCTCGGCCCCGCCCACCCGCTCGCTCGCCCGGCCCCGCCCGCCGGCCCTGCCCCGCCCACCCGCCCGCTCGCCCGGCCCCGCCCGCCGGCCCTGCCCCGCCCACCCGCTCGCTCTCCCGGCCCCGCCCATCCGCCCGGCCCCGCCCATCCGCCCGGCCCCGCCTTGCCGCCGCGACGCAGAGGAGCGGGCCCGGCGCGCCCCGCCCCTGCACCCCCTCGCGGCGCGGCGCCGGCGGAAGCATGGAGGGCGAGAGCACGTCGGCCGTGCTCTCCGGCTTTGTGCTCGGCGCGCTCGCTTTCCAGCACCTCAACACCGACTCGGACACGGTGAGCCGCCGGGCGAGGCGGGCTCCGGCGTCGCCTCGGAAGAGGCTCCGCGCACGGGCGCCCCCGCCGCCGTTTCTCGGGTCCCCGCCCACGAGCTTCCCGACGGCGCCCCGCCCTCTCCCGCCTCGGGGCCGGGGACGCCCGGCCGCCGGGTTTCTGGCGGGACGAGCCCCGCCCCCTCTGACCCGTGTCGGTGTCCTCGCCCGACCGGCGTGTCCCGCGCCCCGTTCCGCGTTCCCCGTTCCTCGGTCGCAGCTCACTCGCGAGCGCACGGAGGGTTCCCGGCGCCGGAGGTTTCTGCGCGTTCGCCGGCCGCGGGCCTCTGGGGTTTTCGTGCGGGACGCGCCCCGCGGCCGGCTGCCGCCCGGGAGGGCTTCGCGGGGGCGGTGTGCGCCGGCGGGCGGACCTCTGACTCGGTGCGGGGGCCTCGGGGCGCTCCGGACGCGCCCCTGGGACGGAAGCGCCTCCGTGTCTCCTCCGGTGCGGGCCGCTGGGTAGTGCCTGTGCCGGGCTCGCGGCCCCGCGCCGAGTGGCGAAGCGGGTTCTCAAGGACGGAGCGCGGCTCGGAAACTTGCGAGAAGCCCGGGAAGTCTGAGCCCGAGCAGCCGCGTCCGAGAGTTCCGTCCCGGGCAGAGCCTGCGGTTCGGCGTCTGCTGTCGCAGGGGCCGTTTCTGGGCACAGTCCCCACCAGACTGGGACGCGTGTCGTTCGCGCGCGCAGCCGCAGGGGCTGGGCAGGACCCCCGTCAGGACCGCGCGCGGGGCGGCTCGGCCGTCCGGACCGCTTCGGGGTCAGCGGAGTGCGGGGCCCCTGGGTCTCTGCGGCTTGAAGCGGGAGCCGCCGGCCGTCCGCCGTGTGAGCCGGGCCCGGTCCCGCGTCTTCTCCCGGGGTTTGTGCGCGGCCCCGCGCGGTGGAACTGCGGGGTGTCACCCGGAGACTCCGGTCAAGACTCATCACTGAAACCTTCTCCTTGTGGTTTTCATTAATGGAGGGGAGGGGGCATTCTTGACTCATTAGAACGAAGACAAATACTTTATTGTCTGTTGAGCGTATTGGGTCTTTCAATGTGCCAAGTGAAGTGATTGAAAAACCCCAAATTAAAAGACATCGTTGCTGTTGTGGCAAACGCCTGCATTTTAGAAACGATCAGGACCCACAGCTCCCCGTTTAGAAATCAGGCTGAATTCCAGACCTTTAATACTCTGTACAGGTTTTAATCTGCAGACTCTAACCATTGTGTCGTTTCATAGCTCAGAAGCAGCCACTGGCTTCCAGAATCCAGTCTTTGACTAGTTATTGGGGACGTTCCGTCAAGCTGCTGTTCCCATCTAGGATTTCATTCCTAGAAACGGGAGCCTTCTCTGTCCCCAGGCTGACTGCTCCTCCTCCTCCTCCAAATATTGTGTGTTCGTTTCTGGCCTTAAGCCTTTTGTGTTCCCGGTGAGGTATTTACAGCCTCTCTGCTGTTCCTGTTTCCCGGCTACACTGGAAGTGCACCTGGGCTTGCTTTTGGGTGCCTGGGGCTGTTTCCCACATTTTGTATGCATTGTGAAACACTAGGGAAATATTGGTTAGATAAGTGACTGAGTAGTTAATTCAACCACATTATTCCATATACTGCTTATTTTTATCCTTATAGGAAGGTTTTCTCCTTGGGGAAGTGAAAGGTGAAGCCAAGAATAGTATTACTGATTCCCAAATGGATGATGTTGAAGTTATTTATACAATTGGTGAGTCACTTATTCTGTGTCTCTTGTATTTGGTGATTTATGCTGAACGAACGGGATCAGCATAAATGAGTTTTTAAATTGTTTTAAGAAACAGATAAAGCATGTTAAAGCAGATTTTGTTGCATTCATTTTTCAGTTAAAATTATGACCATGGTCTACTATAAAGCAAGAAAGAGTGTGCGACATAGAATGTATGTAAGACTACCCTGCGGAAAAAGGATGGAATAGCTCCTGTTTATATTTAAGTTGCAGGAAGATGGCCCAGCAAGCAATCCCCCCCCCCAAAAATATAAAACAGTTCAGATAAAAACATAAAATACTGCAGAAAAGTTGGAAGAGAAGAACTGAAAAAATACGGATTAGATCACTGAAAACCCCAAGTAGCTTGCGGAGTGTATTGGGGGAAAGGCCCACCCCCAGAGAGGTTGAGGGATGGGCCTTGGATCACCTGCAGCAGACGGCAGCTTATTTTTTCAGGAAGAAGGGAAAAGGAAACATAAAAATCTGTCGGGGGTTTTCTGATTACCTAATGTGTGATTTTTTTCTAAGCATATATTTTTTTAAAGATTTTACTTATTTATTTGACAGAGATCACAAGTAGGCAGGGAGGCAGGCAGAGAGAGGAGGAAGCAGGCTCTCCGCTGAGCAGAGAGCCCGATGTGGGGCTTGATCCCAGGACCCTGAGACCATGACCTGAGCCGAAGGCAGAGGCCTTAACCCACTGAGCCACCCAGGCGCCCCTCTAAGCATATTTTGAAAAACAAAACTGGGGGTGTGGTTTATAAAAGATGTGGCATGATGACATCAGACTGTCTCATGACCGCTTTCCCATGTTAAGCGAGTCTCTAAGTATCATCGTTGGTAACTGCATTATATTTGCTGTGGGACTTTAGCAGTCCTTTAAATACATTATCCAGTTTTTCATAAATTACACCACAGTGAACATTCTTAAACACTTTTCTACATTGATAATACATAGATTCCTGGGGCTGGTTTTACGGTGTCAGAATGTATGAGCATTTTTAAGGTTCTTGATCTGTATTAGCAAATTGTTTTCCAGAAAGATTGTGTATTAGTTTATAGTCGTGTTTGTCATTTTTTTGTTTGCCACTTTAAAAGGTTAAAAATGGAAGTATATATGTAAATTTACATGTGTATGTAAATGTAGCATATATATTTGAAGTAAGTATGTAAAGTAAATTCATTCTCCTTAGAGTCTCCTCTGCGGCATCCCCTGTTTTACAAGTATCTTTTTGCTCATTAACAATACACAGGTATATAAATGTGTATATATTTATATATATACAAATGGGATTATCCTATACATGGATAAATATTTCCAAGATAAGTATCTCCACTGATACTGTTCTATTAGCGCACAATAGTATCGATGTGTATAATTTGCCCTTCTTTCTAATGGCTCGTATTTACGCTGTATTTACATACCAGCACTTATATAATCAGCTGTGAATGACTTCCTATTTTTTGTTAATACAAAACAGTATAATGATACACATTTTTATAGTGCATATATCTCTATGCTTGAGTCTGTTGGAAAGTCAGATTCCTCATAGACCACTGCCTTTGGAAAAGTCATGCCATTTTAAGATTCCTCCCCAATATGTAAAAGTGCCTGGGTGCACGTACTGTTGCTACCACAAAGTATTATCCAATTTTTAAATCTTTGCCAATTTGATAAATGAAAACAACTTTAATTTGTATTTCTTAATTACAAATGAGGTTGTTTATTTCTTTGGGGGCAGCTTTTGTTTTTGAAAAAGACAGGCCTGATGCATGCTTTGACTATATTTTTGCTAAGCTATTTTGCTTTTTCTTACTGATTTGTAAATTACATTATAATGTGTGGTAATTGGGCTTTTGTCCTGTGTTGCACATGTTTATACAGTTTGTAATTTTACTTTGTTAATGGTGTTTTTTTCAGCTCAGACACAAGCTTTCTTTCTTTTTTTCTTTCTTTTTAAAGATTTATTTATTTGAGGGACAGCTGAGTGACCCAGTTGTTAAGCATCTGCCTTGGGCTCGGGTCATGATCTCAGGGTCCTGGGATCAAGCCCCACACTGGGCTCTCTGCTCCCTGGGGAGCCTTCTTCTCCCTCTCCCTCTGCCTCTGCCTGCTGCTCCCCCTTTTTGTGCTTTCTCTGACAAGTAAATAAATAAAACCTTTTTAAAAAAATAATGATTAAAAAAAAAGATTTATTTATTTAATGGGAGGAGGGGCAGAGGGAGAGAAAATTTTAAGCAGGTTCTACATGGAACCCATGCGGGCTTAAATTTCAGGATCCTGAAATCATGACCTGACCCCAAAACCAAGAGTCCTATGCTTAACCCACTGAGCCACCCAGGTGCCTCCAGACACAAACTTTAAAAGCAAACCCTTGGGGCATTTTTCCCCCTAATTGCAAATGACATGCTGCCCCAGGTAACCAGACATATTTTAAGGAGTTTAAACAACCATTTATTGAACAACTCCATTGTGCTGGGACCAGTGTTAAACTTCAGGGTATTATTAGGCAAGTGCTGTAGGAACACTTAAGTAATTGCTCAGATTATTTTAAAATGTTGGATTACTAGATGACTAACAAATAAAATCCAAGATCTGCAGATTACTACAGTGCTTTGGTTAATGAGATTTTCATCATACACATATTTAGACATACATCAGAGTATGTTTGGTCAGTTATCAGTAACGGACTATTTCTGTTCAGTCTTGTTTTGTTTTTTTCAGACAGGGGTTTATCTGAGGATAACATCCATTTGCTAGGAGAAAATTGTCTAAAGAGGATGGTCACTTTCCTTTTTTTAAATAGACTGAATTGTTTTTATTAATATACACATAAAGTTATTGAGATGATGATTTCATGTAGTTTTCTCTTTAAAGATGGCACTTGCAGGTACAAACATGCAGAGATGTCTCCAGCCTTCAGAAGTTTACTTGAAGAGATTGTTCAATAGCAGTCTGATAACGGCTTTCCTCGTCTAGCTGAAGAGTCACAGATTCTCTGTAATCAAACTGATGTCTTTGGTTTAAGTGGCTAAAAAAATTTCTAGTACTCTGGGTATGATCTGACACACAAATAGGACATGTCACGGAAACTATCTGAAATACGTGGTTGTTGTTAGAATGACCCAGTAAGTGCTGTCTGGTAAGATTTGATTTTTGACACAAGGGACCCCTAAGAGTGGGAAGCCTGGAAGAACTTATATTCTCTTTGTTGTTTTCAAACTAATCTCTGCACCCGGAGTGGGGCTCCGATTCACAGCCCTGAGGTCAGGAGCCACATGCTCTGCCAGCTGAGCCAGCTGGGCGCCCCAGAACTTGTTCTCTTGGCAGGTTGCTGTGTTACCAAGTGTGGATGTTTCACTCCTGTCGTTCTCCAATAATTTTGGAAGATCTGATGGTTTGAACTGCTAGAGGGAACACTATATTCATCTTGATATTTCCTACAAGATTTATAGTGATGTCTTATGCAATAGAATTTTCTCTCTTTTGCACAGTATGTGCAGCTACCAGAATTTAGGTGTATTTTTATTGGCGAGAATAAAACTCGCTTCCTAAAAGACACTGGGTTCTTGTTTCTTAGTCTGGAGCTAGCGCTAACGAATCTTTTATGAAGCGACTACTTGGAATAGTAGAAGATAATCCCTTTAGCTGCTGCTGTTGTCAACTGGGTAAAATTAGAATATAACCTTTTTAGACCTTAACAAAAATAGAGCGACTTTAAATTCATCTCTCGTGTTGCCGTTCATTATGAAACCTGTTTAGAGGGAATGTAGTGTTCAAGTTAAGACTGAGGCGCTGGGTTTGAATTTTGGCCCCACCATTCTCTCTGCCTGTTACCTCATCTTTTAAATGGAAAGAATGATGTAACATCTGTGTCATAGGTTTGTTGTGAGGATTAAATGAGATAATGTTAAAGTACTTCATTTAATATATGCTATTCAAATGAATATTAATGTAATCATAGCAAAAAATTCCTTTTTTCCAGACATCCAGAAATACATTCCATGCTATCAGCTTTTCAGGTAAGTAGTCACAGCAAGTAAATGATCCACTGTGAAAATTACCCTCTGCAAATGAAGTCACTTTTTGTACAAAACATTTTAATTATCAGTTACACATGGTGGTACTGATAAAAATGAAAAGACTTTTTAAAAAATACCTGAAAATCCACTTGTTCATTTCAACCCTGTCTGATAGTTGCTTCTCTGTGTTTGCTATGTGCTTGCATTAGCCGGTCTCCGCTGACTCCCAGCTGCCCGTTCACGGTTGCTTTTCTCACACTTAGTCACCTCACTGCATAGTGTCAGCTCACTGACTCGTTCTCATACAGCAGCAGCCCTTTTTCCAACTCTGTTATTCAGCCTGTTTCATCACTTGTTTTCTCACTTACCACATATCTAATGTCATCTTTTGTCTGTTAACTGGTTAGGTTCTTTATCTAACCTGCTTCCCATTGCCTTCCTACAGTGAAAATTTGTGTTATTAGTCGCACAGATTATAATAGTATTGTAGTTCTAATAGGCTATGGTATTTTTTTAAAAGATTTTATTTATTTATTTATTTATTTACGTGAGAGAGAGCGCGTGAGCATGAGAGGGGAGAGGATGAGAGGGAGAAGCAGGCTCCGTGCTGCTCTGAGCAGGGAGCACGATGCGGGACTCGATCCTGAGACTCCTGGATCAGGACCTGAGCGGAAGGCAGTCGCTTAACTAGCTGAATTACCCAGGCGCCACTAGGCTATGGTATTTTTGAAAACTTTTTATTGAGGTATAACATACATATAGAAAAGTACACACATAAGTGAATTTTCATAAACACCTATAATCACAGCATGGTGTAGTTGTAATGAAATAACTTTATGATTTATATAAACTGTACTTGAAAAATCAGTGTTACTGTCTTATGGTCACACTGTACATACACTGAGGTTGTGTAAGAATGGCAGTGGAGCATACGGTAAGAGTGAAGAAGATCTGTGGTAGGGGATGACAGAAGTCAAGGCCTCTTGTGGTCTTAAACTGCTGCACCAGAAAGAGGGAGATCTTGGATAGTGTTTTGCATACAGTGGACATACAAAAATACTTGCTGAATGAGGGATTCTTGGTGGAGACTCATAAAAAGTACTTCCCTAGGGACTCTTGACCTGCAAAAAGATTAGGAATGAAGAGTGAAAAGGAAAAGTGATTCAGTGTCTACTGGCAACTGCCCTAAATAATTATACCAATTTAATAGAGCCTTAGAATGGAGGAAGCCCGTCTGATCCAGTGATGAGAAACCCATGCCTCAGCCTTTTCGCCTTGTAAGGTAAAGGGGAAGGAGGCATAAGGAGAACCACCAGAAAAGGCTGTCACTCAGTTAAGTTTTCTACACACTTCATTTTTCCTTAGCAAAACATTAGGCCTAAAAAGTTCATGATAGAACCAATGCCGCAGAACTGGTTAGCAGTAGAGCAGAAACTAGAAGAATGAGGATTTCGTCAGTTCTGCTCCCAACAGCATACCATGGTGTCGCTTCCTGTTGAGTAATAGAGTTAAACATGTTAAAGCGTTTTGATACCATACTTCTTGGACTCCCAGCTGGATAAGCTTTAATGCCCACTTTTATGTGCTAATACAGAGGGTGGCAAAGTATGGCCCATTTTTATAGGGCCATCTGGAATAGTTAATGTATTTTTTTAAGGGTTGTTAAAGACAAAAAGAACAACAGAAGAATATGCAGCAGAGACTATGTCCAGCAAAGCCTAAAATATTTACTCTCTGACTCTTTACAGAAAAGTTTGCCAACCCTTTTCTAATAACATTGTTTCTCAAAGGTTTCCATTGAAAAACACCGAATCACTTACCAAGAATCAAGAGGAAACATCTGGAAAACAGTCCACTGAAGCCTAAAACTCAGTCACTTAAAAAATTATGCAGTTTAACATGAATTCTGCACAGTATCATTCTATATAAAAATGTGCCTCTCCTCCCCAGGAATTTCACATAAAATCAGTGTTTGCACAGAGTATATACTATTATCCTGTTGTTTCTTATATCCTGGTGTATTGCCTCATGCCCCAGTTTGAGAAGTGGGAAGTGGACCAGGCTAGAGAAATACAAGAATAAACTCTTGTATTTAGAGTATTCATGTTACAATAACAGATAAAGTGCAGGGATCTGTTTGATCAGTGGAAATCCCCTTTTGATAGCTGGAACACTCCATTTTGTCTATTTTCCCTTTAAAATTTTGGACGGAATATTTTTCATGTAAGTCGTAAATTTAAAAAAAAAATTGCTTATATTTAGAATATATTTTTTTCAGTTTGACATACCTAAATTTTTTCAGTACAGATTAGAACCAGCAGTAAAAGCCTTATTACAGTGAATATTGTTTACAGAGGAGTTTGCATAACGGGTATTTCACCATCATAGAAAAGAATATTGTTGATTTCAGTGAATGTTAAAAGAGGAGAATATTATCTGCAACCCCTATTATTGGAGAAGGAAGAAAGCTGAAAGTAAACACTTTAGAATCTTTTAGAATTATCCTTCCAATTCTTCCTACATCTTTGGCCTTCCAACAGAACAAAGACAACTAAAACAATATCTAAACACCTTGTCCCCCCCACTCAAAAAAACCCCAGAACGACCAGCACCTGAAGTGCTTCTCAACTTAATAGAAGTATAGCTTTTGGAATTAGCAATAAACTTTTTGTTGTTGTGTTTCATTACTCATACGTTCTTTTGTATGTATCAATATTGTAAAAAAAAGTTTTAATAAGCAGATTGTGAATGAATTGTGAACTGGCTATGTAGACTTTAAAACTTTTTATATTTAATGGATAGTTTGTTTTAGGCTTAAGAAAATATGATGCCCAAATTTATTTCTTGAAATTTCTCCATTCCTTTTCCTTTCTTGTTGTTTATGGGCCTCACATTTCTACCACTTTAAGTCTGTTAATTTGAGAAATTTCTGTTACTATTTTTAGAACTTGATCTGACCAGCAAGTGGGTATATGGATTTTGGTTGGGTAAGGAGTAACTAAAATTAAAAGTGCTAGTAAAATCATATTTTTAGCCTATTTGAAATGCTTTTAATTTTGGCTTTTACAGCTTTTATAATTCTTCTGGTGAACTAAATGAGCAAGCACTGAAGAAAATATTATCAAGTGTCAAAAAGGTATTCCCTGACGTACTTTTGTTTGTTTGGTATTACATCTATTATTTTCAGCCTGAAAAACATCTAATACTTTAACAGAATTTTTAAGCAGCAGTTGTCTTCACAATGTCCTATAAGCAGGTGAGGAAAGGCTTGTTGTTCCAGAAATTCAAAGTTGTGCTCTGAGAGCAGACTAGTCATTCCAAGTATTACTGTTGTTCTCCTCCTCAACTATTCTAATTAACATTGATCTCTTCCTCTTCTACATTCCTACCACACACCTTCCCAGCACCATTTATTCTAGGACCTAACTCATTACTGTTATTTTACATAGCTGGAGTTACTAGCACTTTGCTATATAGTACCTCATTTGAACCCTCTACACATACTTGGTGTTAAGACTTGTTGAGTGATCAAAATAGGTTTTTTTTCCCAAATACAAAATGGTGGGGGAAGGAGGGTTCCTTCTTAAAACATTTTGATCTCTGAGTTGAGAATAAAAGTAGACTCAGTAAAAGAAATTTAAAAACCATCCTTTGATGAAAATGTTTTTTTAATATTTACATTTTATTATAAAATTACATTATGTTTTACATTTAAAATGTACCTGTAAAAATTTTTTGGTTTTAAAAAGAAGAGAACTCGTTTTAATTTCCTCAGTTTAAATGTACAGATACAAAACTTAGTTGCTAAAGTCGTCATACACAGATCTCGAAGCAAAGCGGTTGCTTTCATCTTATAATTACCAAGTTCTCAGCAAATGAGATTTATTTTTCCAGTTTAAAAAAATTTAGTAATACTTACAAATTTGTTCAGCAGATGTTACAGTTTATAAAACCATTTCATAGATCTTATTCAGTTTTGAAACCTGCTCTGTGGGGGAGGTGATATCATTTCCATGTAAATTTCAGTTAAAAGTTGTTGGGTTCAGTTTACTTATTTAGCAAACCAAGTACCCAAACAGGATGTTAACTTGTTTTCCTTGACATTTTCTTCATTTAAATTTTGACTGAAAACTAAGATTTTAAAATAGCAAATACCTCTAGGAGCTAGAGGAAGTTAGGAATTTTTTTTCTCTATATTGACTAAAATAGTAGCCATGTAACTGAGTGGACTATAATGTAACTAAATGACTATAAATCAGTTTGCGTACTTTAAAAGTAAAGTGTAGGGATGCCTGGGTGGCTCAGTCCAGTTGGGTGAGTATTTGCTATTTTAAAAATAAAATATTTTAAAAAATAAATAGAAAAAAGAGTAAAGTGTATATTGAAGTTTGTGCTTTGTTTATCTATGCCCCAAATCTTGCTAAATTTAAGAAAGCCATTTGTAAGGCTGTCAACTTTATTGCTTAATTATGATAGTAAGACACAATAATTATAACCATTAAAGTATACACCTGATTATTTTTTTGTATTTTCTCTCAGGCTGTGGTTGGTTGGTACAAATTCCGACGTCATTCAGACCAGATCATGACATTCAGAGAGAGACTTCTTCACAAAAACTTACAAAATCATCTCTCGAGCCAGGAACTTGTTTTCCTGCTGTTAACACCAAGCATAATAACGGAAAGCTGCTCTACTCACCGGCTGGAGCATGCCTTATATAAGCCTCAGAAGGGGTCAGTGTTGGCCAGTCACTGGCTATTTTAAGTTAATAGAAAAATATACCCAATGCTTTCATTTTACTTTTAGCCTCTTACCAAACATTTTCAAATATTGTTGCATTAGATTGTCACAATAACCCTCCAAAGTTGGTCTGCCATGTCTCATAGATGGGAAAATGAAGGTTAGATAAGGAAATTAGAAGCCCGGTATGGAACGTTGACATGTGTTTTGGCACGGAGGATTTGTTATTTCCCACGAGGTAGAGAACTGGTTGCGGAAGGACATGACGTGGAACCAAGCCTAGGTACTCGAGCAGCTTTTCTCTAACTCTGCAAGGAAGCAAGGTCGTTCTTGATGGCCCACCAAAATGAGTTAACACCGGCCCTAGGTTATATAACATTCTCGTGGAATATGAGGATTAAGTAAAAGAATACCAACTAATTTTATTATTCATGAAAGACAGGATAAATCTCAACAGTTCTGCCTATTTTTACATGTTAAAATAGCCATTAAAGTATTACTTTCACACAACTGTCTTACGCAGTGCACATTTCACGGTTTTTAAAAGGCATTTGCCTCAAGTCAATACATTCTATCTCAGGTAAGTGGTTTAGAATGGGGTTTTGTTGTTGTTTTTTAATCTTACAGGGGAAAGGTACTCTGTATATAATATGTGTAAGTTTATATAGGTATGTAATAGGTGGATGCTAATATTTCACTTTAATTTAAATTTTATTTCTTCAGACTTTTTCACAGGATACCGTTAGTGGTGGCCAATCTGGGCATGTCGGAACAGCTGGGTTATAAAACCGCGTCAGGTTCCTGTGAGTCCGCTGGTTTTAGCCGAGCAGTAAAAACACACAGGTGAGGTTCTTCAGCTGCTTTCCCACTAAACTTACTCCTGTTCATGTTTTGAAATTTATTTATTACACAGAATAAAAACGAAAGGAGAACTAATGACCACCTTACACATGTAAACCAGACTGTTTTTACTTTCTCTGTATTTCCTTCTAGCACTTGTCCATTTATAATATACAAAAAAGGAGGGGTGTTTCATATCCTGTGCAAGTCCACATACGTACTCTAAGAATAAACAGCGTCTCAAAATAATTTTCTAAGGCCTCGATTTAGATTATAAAGGCATGAAATTAGACTGAATATTAAATAATGACAAAAATATGAGGCTTTAGCCAAGATTCACTCATACTGTATAGGCTACTGAACTGTAACTTTTTTGTGGGTATTTTTTTTTTTTTTAGATTTTATTTATTTGACAGAGAGATCACAGGTAGGCAGAGTCAGGCAGAGAGAGGGGGTGGGAAGCAGGCTCCCCACTGAGCGGAGAGCCTGACATGGGGCTCGATTCCAGGACCCTGAGGTCATGGCCCGAGCCGAAGCCAGAGGCTTAGCCCAGTGACCCACCCAGGCGCTCCAATTTTTTGTGTTAAGGGAATAATGTCAGAAATTACACTGGGACTATAGAGACTATAGTCCTGGTGGAAACGGAGAGTGGAAACTGAGAATAAGGGACTCAATTTTTATTTACTTTTGTGTCCCCACAAGGATTAACCATTTTTATAGAAACTGAATACCACATTTCATTGATTCTGAGATGCAGAGTTTTACGTCTCAAATTGGGGTATTTTACAAACTATGCCTTAGCTCTTTCCTTTTTTTCCTTTTTGTTATATAAAATAATGTTTCTTTCAATCGGTGATGACTTAAATTCAATAAAATATTTTTAAAATTGACTGGTCCCCAGTCCCCATTGCCAGGAAGGAAACCGTTTTCTTCCCCACCCTCTTTGTCTTTATTTTTACTTACCTTCTTTTGAGTCCTGGCAATAGAACTTAAAAGACTTTGAAGTCTGCTAGTGGGAAGATATATGAACTAAGTTTTCTGATTGATTTTGCTGTGAACAAAGGGGTTGACAAAATGTCCCTACAAAATGAGTAAAAAGAATCTTTTCAACTACGGATATGTGTTTCATTGTGGCATTAAAGTGACTTCTATATATTTGCCTGACAAAATGCTAATTTCTGCAGCTCTGAATTTTTTACAGAAGATGGATCTTTAAAGGAGGTACATAAAATAAATGAAATGTATGCTTCTTTACAAGAGGAATTAAAGGTAAGTTAACATATCAAACACTTAAGGACTACTTCGAGAGTCCTATCAAATCGGTAACTGAGATCTTTAGGGATAACTTGGCATTTGATTAGGGTTGTATTTTTATAGTGGTTTAGGTTCAGTAACAAGACCTCAGTGTCGGTGGCCTACAAAAACTGAAGTTTAGTCTCACTTACATTATATCCTGGCTCCAACTGCACTCTTCTAAGTGCTGTCTTCATTCGGGATCCAGACTGAAAGAGCACCCACATGAGGGCCGTGCTCTTCTCATGACAAGGGAAGAGAGCAAGAGAGCGGAGACATTTCACAACAGCTCTTAAAACTCCTCAGAGCTGGCAGGTCACTTCCACTCACACTTCATTGGCCAGATCATGTATCCCTATTTCATGGCAGTAGATAGGGATACATATAATCCTTTTTGTATATGTATAAATATATATAAATAGAATATATAATTCCTTCCCTAATATATATTATATATAATTCCTTCCCTAAAAAGGGAAGCAGTATTTGAGAACAAAATAATCTACCACCGTGCTAAATTCTATCTCATTGAATCAGCTGGAGAAGTAGACCTCAAGATGGGATTAGACATGTAAGAGATGTATTAGGCCTGAGAAAGATAACAGGGGGGAGGAGCAGGAGCAGGCAGAGAGAGTTGTAATGCTGAGTCTGACACCGGAGATAGGAGACAGACAGGAAGGGGAGGACATTTGGGTAGAGAGAGCTTTAGACTGCAGGGCCAGAGTGGTTTCAGCCAGGTTGCTGAGGACTCCGAGCAAAGCTTTCCTACTGGAATGGATTTGTACTAATAGCCCACTGTGTTCAGCCACTGGTTAAGAGCAGCCTAAAGGAAGCGTTGCTTCAGTAATGGACCCAAAATGATGGTAGCTGGGGCCTTTAGTCAACTAGGCTTCTCCCAGATGGAGATGTGAGTAGTATATTCCATGGCCACCACATTCATCGGTAAGGCAAATTAAGAGAAGTGAGGTTAATACATTTTACACTACTAATATCGCTCACTATTTTTTAATGTGAATGGTAACATGGGAATTTTAGAAAACAGAAACATCCAGAACCCCATCATTGTAACATAACTATTTTCACTTTGCCATATTTTCTAGTTTTTCCCTAATACATAAATGCTTTTACATAGTCGACAGTGATGGAAACTTACGAATTTCTGCCAAGATTTTTATTTAACGCCATGAAGCATTTTTCATTTCAAAAACATTAATAAGCATTTTTGTTACATATTCTTTAGTTCTTTTTAATGGCTATGTATTTCATATAGCAATATATTAGAACTTCTATGTCAAAGTACTAACTTGGCCTAAAACAAGGAATGTAGAGGTATGTTACAGGAACTGTAGACAGAAAACAGCCGAGCTTCAGGAAGGAATTAGTACCTTACTTTTTAGAACTTTTAAATTAGAACTTACTTTTCCCCCTTGTGTCTGCACATTGGCTTCTTGCGTAGTACCTACAGATCTGTTTGTTCATTCACTGGCTAACCAGAGAAAAACATTAAGATCTGTTCAGAAGATTGGGATTTGTCCGCTGGCTATGTGCCCTCTCTGCTTGGGTCAGTTAGGGTGAAAGTTGGTAGAGGGGTTACTGGTAAACTTTTACGACATGGTGCACAAGATGGTGAGAAATGGGCTGGGCAGATAATCCTAAAATGTATCCATTTTAAAACTAAGCGTGAAGAAGTAAAAAAGTAACATTCTAAAACTAGATGCAACAACATATTACCCTATAATTAGAAATTAGTTACTTTTGAAGTATACCAAGAAACATCTTATATAAATTTTTATTATTTCCTTAAAATACATTCCCAAAATGAAATCGTAGAGTCAGAGGGTATTTTAACTAGTACTTTAATAACTGATAAGGCCAGTCTGCTTTTCAAAAGTCATTTCTTACACACTAATTAAAAATCTGTAACAGTTTTTCATAACAAAAAAGTTACTTTTCCTTATTGTTTCTTAATGTTAAATGTTTGCAGTAAATGTGCATCTCTCAAAATACTGTAGTATTTTTTGTTCCAAAGTGACTGAAATTTTTTTTTATTTCTGTGTCTTATCAAGCAGATAACTGGTGTGATAAAGCTGTGTATAAATGGGAAGTTACTACATCTGGAAAACATTTTATAACCTATAAAGCACCATATAAATGCTTGTTGAGTTCCTTCAGAAAATAGCAAAATAAAGTGTTTATAAAGGCTAATAATACTTGATACTGTGTACCACAAAGGATTTCCTATACTTTGTGAACCTAGACTGTAGTACACAACTTGAATTTTATCCATGCCCTTAAATTCTTTTATTTGGCAGAGTATATGCAAGAAAGTAGAACACAGTGAGCGAGCAGTAGAGAAACTACTAAAGGACGTAACTAGATTGAAACGGGAAATTAAAAAAAGAAAACAGGCACAAATTCAAGCAGCACGTAAGTAAAAAGTTCACACATCACTACCTTCTATGCGTTAAAAAAAATTCTCACTGATGTGAATTACGGGTGAGCTGACTACGCTAACTGAGGGTTAGGGTTAAAAATAATTGTTTTGTGAATACTCTTAAATCCTACTGAATAAAGGTATTTGTAGCTAGACTATATTGCTATTAAAAAAATACAACTTAAACTTTCTTTTAGAATATAGTGGTGTACAAATTAGAATTTGGGATTATGCACGCCATTTTTCTCAATTTAGAGGATTTGATGTAACCGTTCAGTTAAAGTCTTTTTAACTTTACTGAAAAACAGATTGCTACAAAAGCTTTGTAGAACAAATATTGTATGTTGAACTGTTGTTTATTTTGTTTAGGAGAGAACATCGAAAAAGACCCTCAGGAGAACATTTTTCTTTGTCAAGCTTTACGGACCTTTTTTCCAGATTGTGAATTTCTTCATTCATGTGTTATCTCCTTGAAAAATAGGCGTATTTCTAAAAGTAGCTGTACTGCCAACCACCAACTCAACGTGATAGACAACTTGACCTTAATGGTAGAATACGCGGACATTCCTGAAGCCAGTGCGGCTAGTGGTGCGCCGCAAATGGTTAAACGTAAAGCTTTAGATCCCGATGATGGTTGGCAGTTCAAGAAGTCACGGCCACTGGAGATACAGAACCAACCATCTAAAACAGATACTGATAGTAGTAATCAAGAAAAAGCATCCACAATGAGCAGCCCTGAAACAGATGAAGACGTTGAAAAAATGAAGGGTTCCGGTGAATATCCACAGTCTCCTACGTTTTGACCCTTTCAAGCCAGAAGGACCTTGTTAATTGGCTGAAGGGTAAAGCCATTTATATTGTTTTTACTATGTTTAGGTATTTGCAGTAATACAGAAGTTCTGGTACATTTATTTTTTAAAGCACTTTATTTTAAAACCATAACCTTTTTTGTCCACCCCCTTCCCCGCCTTTGTTAAAGATTTTAAGTTATTTCTGCACCCAACGTGGGGCTTGAACCCCCAACCATAGATCAAGAGCTGCATGTTCCACCACTGGATCAGCCAGGCGCCCCGCCCTTTTTTGCTCCTTTTACAAAACTGTTGAGGGAAAAGCTTAAATGATGCTCTTTTAAACTTCTATAGCATTCTTTAGAAGTGGAAAAGAAAGACTAGTCTTATTTTCACAACAGAAAAAAAGATGTCGAAAGTTAATATGAAATGTATTTCATTTTTTTCTAAGTCATTGCAGTTCCTGCTCTTTAAGTTATGATAAGTGGCTAGAGTTGCCAGATAAAATGCTGGACAACATTAAAAACTTACTGTTTAAATGAGTAATTGAATCTGAATTGGAGTTCAAATTTAATTACATGCCCTGTATTTCTATTTGCTAAATCTGGTAGTTGTAATTACGGCAGAACTGTGATGCAGCACAAATCTCTCTCCCTAGTCTAGATCCCTCTACACAAAATTGAGTGAATCCAGAACAGGCCTGGTAATGCAGTGTGTCTGAGATCAGCAGCTGGTCAAGTAGCTGAAAAGACCAGTTAAAATGGGACTCAAAAACGGTGCATACGTGCATCGGTACACATACGTCTGTCACGGAGATTTCATTGCAACACGAAGCAGAATTGTACGTTCATTTGTCAGCCTTTTGTTGTAGGACTAGGAAGTTCTCTGTGACAATGTTGGTGTTCCAGTGTAAATCACATACATGATTTAACCTTTACAATTCCCAGTTTTAGTTTCTTAAGAGTGAAGAATTTAAAGAAACTTTTGAAAGCAACCCAAGTACAAAATGCTTTTTTTTTCTTTTCACGGCGCCCTCCTACTTGCAGTTTTCTTCAGTTGTCCTAACCGCACCAAATCTGACAACTCTTTTTCTTTTCTTACTTTTCTGCAAGTCTTTCAAAAGCATTTACTTCATTTCCATTGCAAGAATAACTCATTCTCATACTTCATCAGTACAGTGACAGACGAAACTAACACAGGTCTGGGGACAGAACATCTGCCTCTTGGCAATGCAAAACTCAACAGGTTTGCAGAGTCCTGGGCTTCAGTATGATTTTGAGTTTAACTCACAGTTTAACCCAGTGAGCTGATTAAGTGGAAGTTGGCTAAGAGAGCTTTTATTGTTTTTTGTATTCGTCTTTTCCTTAATTGTGAGAATTTTCCACAAAGCTTATACATCAAATGAAGCCTTCATGTTTTACCCACTGGATGAAATGCTGAACACACACTTTGACCATTTTACTAAGTAACAGAACAAATTCATAGCTATTATCAAGACTATAAATTATCTATAACATGCCTTAGTTACCATGGGGTGCTAATGAAGCCCACATTAACAGCAGGGATGCTCTGAACCAATTATTGAGTTTCTGTTGGGATTCTTTTAACTGGTTACCTAAGAAGCACTGTGCTGTCATAACGGGCAGGAGGGGTAATAGGTTGGCAGTCTAAAGCCTAATTTAAAAATAACCATAAACAGGGGCACCTGGGCAGCTCAGTTGGTTAAGCATCTGCTTTCAGCCCAGGTCATGAACTCAGGGTCCTGGGATCGACCCCTGCATCAGGCTCCCTGCTCAGCAGGTAGTCTGCCTCTGCCTCTCCCTCTGTTCCTCTCTAAACCGCCCCCTACCACCACCTTGTGCTCTCTCTCAAATAAATAAATACAGTCTTTTTTTTAAAAAGTAACCACAAACGTCACTAGAGCATTTAGAACATCACCTAAAACAGATAAAGACTAAATGCAACCAACAAAAGGAACTACTGGAGGAAGTCCCTGAAGGCACAAGACTGCTGGTTGACCACCAGCTGGACTGAAGCAAAGGTTCCTCACCCACTCCCGTGCTTGGACTGTACATTTTGCCTACTGTTCCCACAGTGGAAACTGTTGCAAGGACATAGCCTTGAGAAAGTAAGGTGTTGACACCATATGGATTGTGTGTGTGACTGAACACAGTTAAGGCCTTAATATAAACTAAGACTAGCAGGCAGGTGCGGAGATCTACTTGGCTTATGGCCACCCAAGACAAACTTCTAAGTTCCCTTGTTTGCTAAGGGAAACTTACAGATCTTGGAGTTATCTGCCCCTTCAGTCTCTCCCTGCCCTCCATGTACCAGTTTATGAGCCAACAGATAAAACAGGCTAGACATATGTGAATAGATATCTCCTGAGGACAATAGATTTTTCAAAGGCTGCTTAAAAGAAATGCCTTCATACAAAGTCCAATTTGCTAAAACACTATAGAGAGGTAATGCATTTGGCTTATACTTGTGCATAATGATCCATCATCTTTGAAGAAAGAAATGCTAAATTTCAGAGAATCTTGCTGAGGTCAGTACCAGCTGAACTTCCATAATTAAGTTTGATGACCCAAGTTTCAAGGTATTAAAAGAAGAAAAAGGGTCCCGATAGGTCATTTTCCCCCAATTCTCATCTTTCGGTGATTAGCCTATCACTGGAGTAAGACAGTTCTAGACCATCTGCCTATGGATCATTTTAAAGTACGCTACCAAGTTCTAAGACAGATGAGCCCAGGAGTAAATCTGAGGTCCTGTGACTGCTCTACTATCCATCCCCATGTAACATCTCTACAAAGGGAAGAACCAATGTCCTAGCCAGGCATACTTCTCTTTGCGAGTTAGAAAATCTGAGCAGGGGTTCCTGGGTGGCTTAGTCATTAAGCCTGAGTCTTCGGCTCAGGTCACGATCCCAGAGTCCTGGGATCAAACCCCGCATCAGGCTCCCTGCTTGGCGGGAAGCCTGCTTCTCCCACTCCAGTTTCCCCTGCCTGTGTTCCCTCTCTCCTTGTCTGTCAAATAAGTAAATAAAATAGTTTAAAAAAGAAAAAATCAGCAATTTTAAACCCATACCCTGCCACATGGAATTTGTACATTAACACTAGCTTTCTACCTTCATGCACCTATATCCCTAAAATCCCATTTACAAGACAGAATCTGGGCCTAAAGTAAAATTCCCATAGAAGTCATCCTTTCCGTATTTGAAATCCCAATGAGTTGTATGAGCCTACTGGGGACCATCTTACAGTACCAGTTTTTAAAATTTGTATGTATGTATATAAAATGTAATGTGTATTAACATTTGAAATAACTTGTTTTCATTAAAGAACAGTGGAGAGGAAGCCTTACTTTTTCCTTGAAAGATTTCAGTGAAGAATTAAAAACTCAATACTTCAGTTTCAAAAGATTTAGCCAATTTTCTAGCCAAAGGTTATTAAATCTTATAATTTGAGTATTAGAATCTTATGACTATTATAAAATATGTTTATTGATGATAAGACTCATATAATTTACTCCCGATACTTGATGTTACAAACTTTAGGGTCTTTGAGATATGCAGGATCCTTGTATGTAACTGGCATAAACCCTGTAAAAGAAAATGAAAATGCTTCACAAACGATAACAAGCAAACTTTGGATTAGCCTGATTCAGTTTTTCAGGTGCTCTTACCCATTATTTGAGCTCTCTTAATTGCTTTTGTGATTTCTTTCTGTTTCTTCCCACAAAGACCTATAAAAAAATGCTTTCATATTCATAAAAATGTCAACACTCAAAATGCATAGCAACTATCTTCAGTCAAGGAAAGGCTGGAAAACCTGTAAATAGCCAGGGAGTAAGTCTCATAGGCTATGCGGGCCATACAGCCACTGTGTAATTACTGTGATGTAGTTCACAAAGCAGCCATAGGCACTAGTAAATTAGCTACTGACAAAAACAGGAGGGAGATGACTTGGCCTATAGGTAGTAGGCCCTGGGTTAAATAAGTAGTCTAGGAATGACTACAGTATACTCCAAAACATCAATGCAATTTTCTTAAGCCCTCATTTTTTACATGTTGTCTGCCTATAGTTAACTCTGAGCATAAGAAGACATGTAAAATAATAATCCTTTTGGCCTACGAAGAGGCTTTTTCAAAGTACCTGTAGTATCTAGCGATTTATAACACAATTTGAAAATTTGACATCTTTCTTAAATAACAAGTAGATTTGTATAATTTTTTTAATAAGCTGCTATAATAGAAAACAAAGTACCTGTTATGTGCCTTCCATAAATGCATCCAGTAAATGGAGAAATAAACTGGGACAAAAGCTGTATGAGTTTTATTTGGAGAAGAAAAAAAATTTCTATCAACACATCTGTTCAACTTTATGTAAATTTAAAAAATTATATATCACTGTCAAGTTATGTAAAGGTTTAATAAATTTCAGACAAACTTCTTAAAAATACTGATCTATGCTCATTCTATTAATAGGTCATTTTAAAAAAATTTTTTAATTAAATTTTTTTAAATGAAAAAACGATTACTAAAGTTAACTTCTTTTATCCAGTGTGTCGAAACAGATTAATGTACACATTTTTTCAGAGCTAAAACTGTTTTCTTGAACTTTTCCACAGATCCTTTCCTATAACACTATTGCTTGTAATAGGCACTAAGCATTTCATCTGTCATTAGAGACTATCACATTGTATCAGACGACAGTAAGGTCTTCAAGAGGTACAGGTACATCACGCCACTTGCCATAATTTATGTTTTATTCATTTAAGTTCTTTAGTACTTTTCAGGTAACAGGCACTGTTCCTGGCACTATGCATAATCCTTCTGATAAGATACATCTTTAAACTTCTCGGTTTTCATCTAAGGTAGCTACCACTTTTGCTGCTGTCAGTATACTTAACTCCGGCATCATCCTCTCCCCTACATTTGCCACTTTTAATTTGCTGAGCCCTGGACAACAGATAAAATTACATCTGAAGCAGTTATACTGGCAGTGTTATTAGTATGGAGTCCAAATTCAGCAGAGGAGATTTTTCGAAACCATTCAACTCTACCAACTAAGAATCACTGCACAGTGAGCTACTGGTGACCTCCAGGGAAGACAAGAGAACACTGACCTGAAGTAACAGTGCATGAGGGAGACCCAAAGGGCTCTCATTAGAATAAAACAGAGATGCCTTATACATAGAAAATCAGATTTGAAATTATGAAGCTACTAAAACAGGTGCCTCTACACAAAGCCTGTAATAAAACGAACTTGATCCTCCTTAATTATGACTAACAAAGGAGCAAATCCTAAAATCAAATATAGTGAAGTAAAACCGTATCTCACCTGTACGTTCTTATAATCTACACGTTTTCCACACAAGATGCATTTTTTAAGAGGCTCCTTATAAGGATTTTCCATTGGAACGGGCTAAGATAAGGGAAAGGAAAAAAATCTGATAATACAGTTTAATGAGTTAAATTTAAAAAGATTAAATCTTAAGGCTACCACATTTAAATCTATCCAAAGGATTAGCTGTACCCTTCTTACTATGAAAAAGAAAAAATACAACAGCTTGGCTTATATAAGAAAAATCAGTGTATCTGAAAAGGAGTCACCATTTTAAAGATTTCAGTGTGTTTGTACACATTTTGTCCAAGTACTCTGGCTGGGCTAAGGAGGAATTAAATCCTGGAGGAGGATTCTGGGATAAAATACAATCCTTGGGGAAAACAAAGGTTTATGGGAGGATAACTTGTGGTCCCAGGCTGCGTTATCTATGCCACATCTAGACTCCTAATCTAGAATGGCTTCCAAGTCCATAACCCCCTGGAGTTGTATGCAAATTTTCAAATGAGACTGTGAGCTTTTTTCCGGGAGCCCACATTTCATTGGAACCTAGAAAAGAGCTCTAGTAATTTCCTTTACTCCCCTGAACGAGGGTGGGCATTAGATGAACAGAAGGACGCGCAAGGACTGGAAGAGCCGCGTGTTTTCCAGCTCCTCACACCTTAGTCCAATCTGCATGCAGCTCCCACGCAGTGGCGACGTTCCTTCTCTACACTGCGCTAAGCGCTCTGTATGCTTTCATGAGTGTCACGTCATCTTTGCAGGTAGCAAGAAAATTCACACTGGCTAAGCCCAATGCCAGTGCCTGAAACCCCTAAAGATACACCTACGGGCTAAAGGAAACGATTTAATGTCCCAGTACAAACTTTGATTTTGACCCTTCATTTACGAAAACACCCCGTACCACCCCCGGTAAGGAAAAGGACATGGGGAAGAGAGCCAAGGTACAGGCAGACTTTGTAATCCCTCTGTGCACCCGCCAAAACTATCTTTTTAATTTCCGAATCGTGTATCCTTAAATTTGGGATCTAAGAAGAAAAATGTGGTGTCCCACAAGCGATGCTTCTGGTGGGACCCTAGGAATTCTTACTTCAGAGCTCACTTAAGTGACAATTCAACAAATTACCGTTTTCAAACTCAAACTGATGAGCATGTTCGTCACTTGTCCTTCAGCTGAACTCCATTCCAACAGCTAAAATGTAAGAATGTGGCCCTATTCGCAAATGCCTTAAAAAGGAAGGAGAAAAGTCTTACCAGGTCGTCGTGGCCGGCCACCCGCTGATCCCGCGAACAACCTCTCCAGGGCACTGCAATCAAACAAACGGCAACAAACCAAGTCTCTGCTCCGCTCGCAACTGCGGCCGCGGACCCGGGAGACAGCGCAAAGACCCGCTTTATGCTCACACCCGGGGCGCGGACAGACGCCTCCGGGCGAGCCGCAGCGTGAGGCCGGAGACCCACGGCCCCGAGGCCTGCGGGAAAGCGCCCGTCGCGCCCCGCCCCACGCACCTCCCGCCTGCCCCCTTCCTGAGACTGACTCTCCCTCGCTCCGCAGTTAGGGGCAGAGTTTAGGGCGGGCACTGGAGGGGAAAGCAGGAGGAACCCCCGGAAGCACAGGACGGCCGGGCGGCCGCCGGCCGGGCTGCAGCGGGGCTCCCCGCGCCCTCCCAGCGTGGACGGTACGCTTCGCCCGCCGCTCCCGCAGGGGGACCTGCTGCGAGGACAGAGCCTGGAGAACCCCACGCGGATCGTGCGTGACTGCGGCCAGCGGGGGCCCCCGAGGAGCAGTCACTGGCGGCGAAGATCAGCGCCGGAGGAGAGACGCCAGGGCCCCCGTCACACTCGGGCCCGCATCCGGGACTCTGGGCGACCGCAGTGCACTTCCCGGGCCTCCGGACAAGTCCCGTCCTTGCCAGCTGCGCCTGGAGCTCGAGGCAAGTCAGTCCCTGCCGCTGCTCGAGAGTCACGCGGTCGTTCTTCCCGCGCGTTTGAAAGGGAGGGAGAAGGACTGGGGGGCATCCCTGTCCCCTTCGCTGGACGACACCGGTCACGGCGGCGACCGGGGGCGGGGCCGGTGAAGCGACTCGGAAGGTTCCGAAGACGAGCGACCCAGGCGCAGCGCGAGCCCACGCGACGGAGACTGAAACCAGGCCAGGGGGGCGGGGGCGGGGGCTTCTCTCCAAATCCCGCAACTGCCCGTTCTAGACCAGGAAGTCCCGGAAGGCGACTCCGCTCTCCACGGTCGGCGTAAACCCCGTTTCCTCACTCGGAAAAGCAAACCGGGGCGGCTCGGCGGGGTAAGCTCGGCCCGCGGCTCCGGTCACGGTCTCCGGCTGCCGGGACCGACCCCGCTGGGGCCCTGCTCCGCGGGGAGCCCGCGTCCCCGTCTCCTCTGCCCTGCCCCCGCCCCCGCTCCCTCCCTGCCTCAAGTAACGTCTTATAGAAATAAAGGAAAACGCGCGTCAGGAACCACGACGGATCCCGTCCCTCTCGGGGAAGCTCCTCCTGCGCGAAGAGCCGGCGTCCTCCGGCCAACAGGACGACGCCCGCACCCAGGGAGCGCTGCGGCGACGGCCACCGAAGGGTCTGGGACACGGAAGCCGTACCCGAGCGAGTCCCACGGCCAGTGAGGCACAGAGCAGCCCTCACGAAGTGCGTCCACGGCTTCCTCCCCGGACCACCGCGAGCAGCGCCCAGGGCCGCCATGGGTCCTCGCCCCTCCTCTTCCGCTCCTCTCTCCAAGCAGTCCTGACGAGTCCCGCCGCGGCTCTTCCCCTGTTGGCCCGAGGACTCGGTTCAAAAGTTCCGCGGACGAACGAAGCCGGTCCGGTGTTCGACGCGCCTGCGCAGCACCTTTCCGCTCTGATGCTCCCGGCCGCGAGCCTGGGACACCTCTGATTGGACAAGGAAAAGGCGGGTCCCTACGCTCGTGCTTCCGCTTCCGGCCTGAGAGCCCGCGCGATTGGTCTGTGGTCTGAGGTGGATGGAGGGGTGAGCGCGGCGTCCCGCACTTGCTGCCCGCGCGCTGTCCTGCGCTCCCCCTTCCACAGGGGTCTGGCGGCCGGGTCACACGGGGCGGGATTTGGCCATGGTCCTCGGCCCCTGCCATGGATGAGGGCGGGTCCCGCCTCCGCCGGCGGGTGTCTGTCCGCAAAAGGGACCGGCCGAGCCCAGGGAGCGGCCTGGCCGCCGGCAGCGCGGCCGAGCCCCGGCAGGAGCGGGAGGAGGAGCCGGGGGCCGGGAGCCGGCGGAGAAGGACCGCGGAGGTGCAGCCGCTCGAGGTACCGCCCGCGCCGCGCACGGACTCCGCAAGCGCCCGGCTGGTTGCCCGCGTCGGGGGGACGCAGACCCCGGCGCGCGCCCCCGGGAGGAGCCCGCAGGCCGGCTTGGGCGGGCGTAGAGATCCCGGGGTCGCGCCCGGGGTCCGCGGCCCTCGTCGGCCTCGAGTCCGGGGTCGCCGGTAGTTCTGCTCGCGGGGCCTCGCCGTGTCTTTCTCGTGTCGGTCTCCAGGGTGGAGCTTGGGGCGGGACGGACGCAGACCCGGTCCCGGCGACTTCCCGCTCGACGGCCCCTGCCGCACGCCGGGCTGGGGGCCTCGTAGGCCGCGTGGTCGGCGGGGACCCGAGACCGCCGTTTCCGACTGCGGGTCCCGTTTCCTGCGCCACTCGCTGTCCGTTTTCCTCCACATTCCCGTCTCTCCCGCCGAGGAGACCGTGGCAGGCGCGGTGCGGGCCCTTGCGGTCCCGACTCCCGGGAACAGTCTCCTCGGCGCGGTCCCGTCGCCCGCCGGTTTCCGTGTGTGCGGGTCTGCGGAGCGCGGTGCGGCGGCGGGCGTTCCCGCGGGGGTCTGCGGGTCTCGCTGCGTCCTGGCAGCCGGCAGCGCGCCCCAGCACCCCGCACCCCGGGACCGCCGCTGGCGCAGACCACGTCCACGCTCTGGCCCTGCGCGTCTTCATCTTTGCAACGGAGACGGTGACATCCGTTCCGTAGCCGACTTGGGTTTAGGTAATTATGTGCCTGGATAGCTCCAGGCTGGAACGTCTGTCCTTAACGAAGCCAGAACTGACCGTAGATCTTCTCGTTTTCTTTCCAGAATAATGACAGTGAAGAGGACATGTTCGGGGACTATGACAACTTTGCTGAAAATTCTTTTTTAGCTCAAGTTGACGACGTGGAACAACAATATATGCAAGTTTCTGAACGTGGAAAACGTGCCGCAGGGCTTAGCACCGAAGGTCTTCCTTGGGAAAGCGGCGCCACTGCTGTAGGCAGCTTCGCGGAATCGGAAACGGATGAGCCCGTGAGGAACCCGAGCAAGCGTGAAGATGTCTCTGCTGAACTTGGCATTTTGGATGACGTACCTTCTTCACAAGTGTTATACTTTGAAAATGTGCAGAACTCTGCAGATGATTTGGGCAGCCAGTGTACTGAAGAGAGGGATTGGAATGCATCCTCTCTCAAGACTCTGAATGAGGAATTACCCCCGAATAGCATAGAACAGCACCAGCAAACTGGTGATTCCTCTTCAAAAGTCAGAAGTGGTTCAGAAGAAAATAGGAGAAAAAGTCTTAAAGAACATCTAAAAAGTGTCATGACTGGAAATGCCAGGGCCCAAACACCAGTGTTTTCCAAAACTAAACAGCTCAAAGAGACTCTCCTATCTGAAGAAATTAGTGTTGCTAAGAAAACAATTGAGTCATCATCAGATGACCTTGGTCCTTTTTATTCATTACCTGGCAAAGTGAGAGACCTTTATGTTCAGTTCAAGGGAATTGAAAAATTATATGGTAAATGCTTTTTGCTGAAATGAAAAAAATTTACCATTATTACCATAATGCTAGTGCAAGTCAATAGAAATCAGATGCTTCTGTGGTTCTATATCTCATCTTAAGAAATAAAAATATCGGTCCTCTCAACCTTCCATCCCTAACAGCCTGCTACTGAACCTCTTTGCTTCCTTTCATGGTCACATTTCTCAAATCTATTATCGTTGCTGTCTCCCTTTCCTCACCTCAAATAATTCCCAGCCCACTTTGGGTTCTGTGCTCTCACTTAAGATGCAAGGACAAGGGGCACCTGGGTGGCTCAGTGGGTTAAAGCCTCTGCCTTCAGCTCAGGTCATGGTCCCAGGGTCCTGGGATCGAGCCCTGCATGGGGCTCCCTGCTCAGCAGGGAGCCTGCTTCCTCCTCTCTCTCTCTCTCTCTCTCTCTGCCTGCCTCTCTGCCTACTTGTGATCTCTGTCAAATAAATAAAATCTTAAAAAAAAAAAAATAAGATGCAAGGACGAGGGTGTCTTAAATCCATTGATACTTTCAGTTCTCACTTGCCTGACTTCTCAGTAGCTTACATGACACAATTGACCAGACCCTTGAAACACCTGTTTCTTGACTTTCTGACATTCTGCTCCTGGTTTTTTCTCTGTCTAGCTGCTTCTCAGTTTTCTTAGCTGGTGTGTCTTTGGCTGATTCTGTCTTCTGTACAAAAACTTGGAATTTCCTTTGACTATTCATGGCTTGAGTGAAAATGTCAATGTTAGTGATACCATTGATTAAAACTAAACATCTTTAAAGGTAGCAGAAGTTAAGAATTAAGTGCAAGAGATAGTATTAGTAACAACATATATTGTACTGTTTCTCAAAAATCCTGGGTCCTTGCATATATCTTCGCTATGTGTCATTTTAGACAAAGAAGGGACGGTTGCTGGCACCCTCAAAGATGAGCCTGTTGACCCGTTAGATACTTCATCAGTATTTCCGAAACTCCTGTGGTAGTGCCTTAGGAACCATGTGAAAACATGGTTCTCATCTCGGGGACAAGACAAGCGGGTGGAGAAGTAGAACTAAAGGAAACAAAGTAATGTAAGACTACAAGAGTCTAATAAATTCTGAATTGTGAGCTTTGCAGTTAAGGAGCTAAAGGTGTGTATTGCCCTTGAAGTAGGTGTTAACTTTCTTCCATCTGCTTTTCTCCTAGTACCTTGTTCTTTGTTTAAGCTGCATCTCCTCCCAGACTGAGTACCCTGAGGTCAGGGCTCTGTCCAGCTCAGCTTTTTCTTAGAGAACTAGCGCTGTGCCTGGTACACTCTGGTCGGTTCTCAACTGCTGGAGGTCGTCAGCTAGTTAGGAACTCAGGCCCTGCCACTGAAACACAGCTTTTGCACTCTGAGTCTCAGTTCCTGATCTCTTAAAAAGGAATGATAATACCAATAATGACTGTTTTGTAAGTTACGTCCTGCATCAAGGACATGCCAAATTAAACTGTGGTAATGACTAACTATATTGGCAGCTTCTAAGTAAGAACTTCAGTAAATAACAGGTCTTTAAATCTCTTTTTACTTATAAATCTGGCTTGATGACATGACCAATTTAAAGCACAAGTGTGTGTGCCACCTTTGATTGCGCTAAAGCAGTCGTTCTCAAAGTATAGTTCCTGGACCCCAGCATCAGCATCCCCTGAAACTTGTTGAAATAGGCGTTTTCAGGCTCCACTCTAGGCCTCCTGAATCACGGGTTGTGACCTGCCAGTTGGTTTTAACGAGCCCTCCAGGGGATTCTGATGTGCCAGAAGTTTGAGAACCACTGAGCTTGAGAACCTCAGTCTTATACTGTTACTTTTGCCTTTTTATTATAGAGTTGCATGGTTAATGTGTTTTATATAAATGTTCAGAATCAGTATCTTTTTTTAATGTGTGAAGATAAGTGATATTACCAAATATTTGCTATTTTGGTCATTGTAGTCTTTAAAAATTAGAGTTGGATAAAATGCAGAAATGGTCAAGTTGTATTTTTTCTTTTTTTTTTTTTAAGATTTTATTTATTTGACAGAGATCACAAGCAGGCAGAGAGACAGGCAGAGAGAGAGGGAGAAACAGGCTCCCCGCTGAGCACAGAGCCCCATGTGGGGGCTCAATCCTAGGACCCCGGGATCATGACCTGAGCCGAAGGCAGAGGCTTTAACCCACTGAGCCACCCAGGCGCCCCTCAAGTTGTATTTTCTTACAGACCTCTGAAGTTCCATAGCTAATGGATGATACCAGTCTGAAATATTTTTAATATATAAATATTAAATATTAAACTTAAGTATTTTTGAAATATTTAAAATGAAAAAAGTCATTTGCAAATATTTGGGAATCACCAAAATATAAGAAATTAATGTCACTTGGCTGTCATTCAGACGTAACTTTTTAGTTGTTGGCTTATTTTTTTTTTTTAGTTTTTTTTTTTTTATTTGTTAGAGAGAGAGCTCACGCGAGCGAGCAGGCAGGCAGAGGCAGAGGGAGAAGCAGGCTCCCCGCTGAGCAAGCAGCCAGATGTGGGACTAGATCCCAGGACCCTGGGATCATGATCTGAGCAGAAGCAAGCCACTTAACCAACTGAGCCACCCAGGTGTCCCGCAGACATAACTGTTTTTAATACCATTGTAATACATCCTATTAGTCATTTTTTTAAATTTAATTTTTTTGGAAAACATAATACATTCAAATCCAACTTTTCTATTATATATTTGTTTCTAATATCTGTGCATAATTGGGTTTATACAATCCAATTCACATTTATGATCTTTTACTTAACTGTACATTGAGCAGTCAACCACCTGTTTTCAGGCTGCAAAGAATGATACAATTGTGCAATAATTCATTCAACTTTTACCCCACGGCTCTTTGTTACATACAAACACTGCTGTGATGAACATTCTTGCACATAATTTTTCTATGTCCTTGCTTTTATTTCTGTAGGTGTAGAGACCTAGAAGTAATACTGCTAGCTCAAAGACGGTGTGCAGTTTTATTTTCAATACTGTTGGCATTCTAAAAAGATTGTAGTAAAAAAAAAAAAAAAAAAAGATTATAGTACTTTATGCTCTCATTGACCACCCTAAGAATGTCTGTTTGTCCCCAATCAAGTCAGCTCTGGATTTTCCATGTGTGAAGCTTTTGTGTTTTTTGGTGGTAGTAGTTACTTGTACTTTGTGTCTTTATTTTGCCAACCCAGTAAGTAACAGTGGAGCATCTTTTCGTATATTTCTCTCTGCTGTGAAATGTCATCCTATCTTTTGCCCGTTTTTCTAGTGATGAAATACTAATGTACGTTTTGAAGACTTTCGATGATCCACATTGTCAGATTAGCCTACAGAGTAACTACTCTGTAGATTTCACACTATGTTTTGGGTCTGGTTTCCTTTTTATGAATTCCACCTTGCTAAATTGTGGAATTCCTAGATGGGCCAGTTAATAATCTTAGTCTTTTGTATTTTAAAGATTTGTATTTTGGGGGTATAAAAATAAAAGCCATTTTGGGTGGCTCAGATGGTTAAGCATCTACCTTGGGCTCAGGTCATAATCTCAAGATCCTGTGATCAAGCCCCATATTGGGCTCCCAGCTCAGCGGGGAGTCTGCTTCTCCCTCCCCCTCCCTGCTTGTGCGCTCTCTCTCTCTCTCTCTCTCTCAAATAAATAAACAAAATCTTCAAAATAAATAAATAAATAAAGATTTTATTTTTAAGTCATCTCTATACCCAATGTGTAGAGATCTTACAACCCTGAAATCAGTAGTCACATGCTCTGTCGACTGAGCCAGCCAGGCACCCAATCCTAGCCTTTTATGTTTTAAATATTCTTAACACTTCAAAATGGCATTCAGACCAGAGTTCAGCTCCCCACAAGAGCCAGGTGAATGAATAGTCTTTCTTAGTGTGTATAAAACCTCATAGATGTTCTTTTCCTCCTCCCCCTTTTTCTCTAGGATGTTTGTGTAGAAGAGGAGAGGAAGCTTACATGATCTCCTTGCAGAACTAAAGAGGAAAGCCTAAACATTCACACAGATCCTCCTACTGTCCTTTAGCTCCTCTCATGTCTCAGATCATGTCCCAGGCCACTGTTGGAATCTTAGACCTAAGTGCGCATCTGGCAAATAGATGACTTAGTGACCCACTGTGCTACCCAGACTTGAATTAGAATTAGACTCTAACTGGCTGTGTCCACGGTGCACTGGGGATGCTTACAATTAATGTTGATGTATGTATAATTATACTTACCGTTATGAGAAGATGGATCTACAGAGTGGGATTTGAGTTTTCCTTCTTAGGAAACTTTCTTGAGACTGAATTGCAGGAGGGGAAAAAATGCCTTTTTTTTTTTTTTTTAACTCCACAGAATGGCAACATACTTGCTTAACATTGAATTCTGTGCAAGAAAGAAAAAACTTAATCTATTCCTTGCCAACGAGTGGTGGAAAAACCCTTGTGGCGGAAATTTTAATGCTGCAAGAACTGCTTTGCCGGCGAAGAGATGTTCTAATGATCCTACCATATGTGGCAATTGTCCAAGAAAAGGTGTGACTGTTTTTTAACAAACAGCATTTGCTGACATTTTCACATTAAAATATAAAAAGTAGCATAAATGTAACAACTTTTCATTGACTGAGAAGAGGTAGAGGATATTCTTAGGATGTGCAAAAGCAAGTGTAGGACCTACCAAAAATCACTTCTAATACTAATTACAACAAGAATTTTATTCTTTTTTCTAAACTGGCAGATTAAATTCCATTTTAATACTGATATTTAATATATTGATATTCAGCCTGCCTTTTCAAGCAGAAAGTAACCAATTATTATCAAAGTAAGTGAATTATTCTGGGGTTTTTTTTGTTTTGTTTTGTTTTTTACATCCAAGGAGACAGTTGAAATTTATTTCCACATCGATTATGTAGTTTAAAAGTTACATTCCTTTTGCAAAGAGCCACACATACTAATTATGACATTTCTTAGATATAGATGTCTTATCTGTGACATCTCACTCATTGGTATTATATAGTATTTCAGATTTTTTAAAAAATCAACGTGAGCACTTGGTAATTGAGTTCTTAATTATCTGATTTTTTTGTATGTTTATTTTAACTAATATTCTAGATTTCAGGTTTGTCAAGTTTTGGTATAGAACTGGGCTTCTTTGTTGAAGAATATGCTGGAAGCAAAGGAAAATTTCCTCCAATTAAAAGAAGGGAAAAAAAATCTCTATATATTGCCACTATCGAAAAAGGACATAGTCTGGTAAACTCCTTGATTGAAACTGGAAGGATTGGCAGTCTGGGTCTGGTTGTTGTAGATGAGGTTGGTAACTGTTTTTATAATTTATCAACATTTTTATTATACTAACATTAGTATCTCCTTAGTACCTCTATGAAAATAAGTAACTTGTTTTAATAGATAGACTATACAGATGAATACATTTCATGCATGCTTGGTAATCTTAAATTCAGTTTTGTGTCAAGTGTTTTTTGAAGAGTGAATAAATGTCTGTATGTATTCAATTTTATAATGGTATTTATGAATTCTAGATATGTCAGGATGTTGCCCCCAAACCTCATTAACCAAAATATCAGTGATACAGTGCATATGTATTCTGGTTGCTATATCCAAAATGCTTAAGAGTTATAAAGCAAAGATTACTTCATTTCATATAAATACATGCATGTTCTATATAGGCATTATATGCAAATTTACTTTTCTTCCTCCCTTCTGTTTTTAAATCTCGAAGTTGCACATGATTGGTGAAGGGAGCCGTGGGGCTATCCTGGAAATGACCCTAGCAAAAATTCTCTACACTAGCAGTAAGTATTTTTTTCAAATGTGGTCCCTAACTGATTTATCCTCAGGAGGCCTATGAAAGACTTAGTTTTATCACTAGCTAGACGAGGTACCCTTGGGTAAGATACTTAAGCTTCCTTCTTTGGATTTTTATTTCTAAAGCAAATTTAGAAATTTTGGTTGGAAAAATGGGTAGATGAGCAGAGCCGTGAATATGAAGGAGATTAACATCTGGACATCCCATGTTATCCTCCACTTACCAGCTGTGCATGTGTAGGCATGTGACTCAACCTCTCTATTCATCTGCTAAATGGGGATAATGGTACCACCTTGGGGGATTGCTGGGGGATCGTATGAGTTAGTGTAAAGCAGTCAGCACTTGCTTAGCACGGAGCACTCAATACGCGATTGTTGCTGCCGCCTCCATCAGTCTCACCCTGGTCAGACCAGGAGAGCAGTGAATGCAGGTAGTCACTCGAAGAGCTCTTTGCAACATCGGATGGTCTTTCGATATTTGTTCTGAATGTCTTCTTTCCTATTTATAGATACACTATTGCAATAACTTACTAAGTTATATATTGCAATAGTTTATTTATGGAAAAGTTATAAGGGTCAAATATTAAAATTATTTTTAAAATTTTGATAGCAATGGTATCTAGACGGGTCGTGGCACTTTATAATGATTCATTAAAAAAAAATTACTGAGTACCTACTTTGTGCCGGGCACTGTTCTTAGTGCTAAGGATGTAGCAGTGCGTAACACACAAAAAAATAACCCTGCCTTCATCAGACCTGTATTTTAGTGAAAGTGAGCAGACAATAAGCAGATAAACAAGAAAACATACAGTGTGTCAAATGGTGACAAATTCTGTGGAAAAATAAAAAGCAGAGGAAAAGAGGAGAAGCGTTGCCTGTTTGTCAAATCCAGTGCACACTGACGGTCCTTGTCTTATTTTCCTTCAGCATTTGATTGTTTATCAATTTCCTTTCCTTTGAGCGCTGAAGCACTCTCTCTGTGGGGATCGTGTGTTACCATGACAGATAGCATAGCGTGATGGCTGAGGACGGGCTCCAGCTGGACTAAAATCCTGACTACTTTTAACTGCATATGTGACCTTGAGCAAGGTCTCGCAACTGGGCCTCTGTTTCCTTATGCATCAAAATAGATGATAGTGAAATGGGCAAGATTTGTGAGGGGGAGTAAGAGGTACAAACTTAGAGTTATAAAATAAGTCACGAGGTTGGGAAGTACAGCCTAGGGTACTGGTCAGTAATATTGTAATAATGGTGTATGATGACAGATGGTAGCTGTACTTATCGCGGTGAATAGCGTGTCATGTCCAGCATTGTGGAATCACCGTGTTATACACCTGAAACTAATACAACACTGCATGTCAGCTATACCGCCATAATAAAGCATTTTTTTAAAAAATGGATGATAGTAATAGGTCCTGCCTACTGAACTGCTCTCCTGTGGAAGGCAGCCATTTCATACTGCCCAAGAGGACATGTAGTTTCATGAGTTTTACTCCACCTTGGTTTAAAAAGAAAAAGAAGTTGACAACCTGATAGCAAGATCCCATTAAGGGCTTTATTTGGCAAGTGTTCAGGACCCATTCAGCCCTGCATCCTACGCTGTACCTCTGCCTTTAGGCACACCTGTGGCACATGTCCTAGCTCTTCATGGCAGTGGTCCAGAGAGCCAGCAACAAGCGTATTTCATACTCATTATTGTTGCTTAGAAGTCTTGTTGAAGATGGGACTTTCTGCCAAGTGTGAAATTCTATAGAATTCCAAATAGTAACTTTCAGGTCACTGCAAGTTTTCAGTCTTTGCCAGAATAATACTCTGCCAATATCTTTGTATTTTTCTTACCTCCTAGTCACTCCCTCCTTTTCCCAGATCACTCAGGAAGAGTCCTGAACCCAGAAAGGTTACTAACTTACTATTATGTTACACCAAGTAACACATTTTCCTCGCTCCTTTGGATTTTTTTTAGAAACAACTCAGATTATTGGCATGAGTGCAACACTGAACAATGTTGAAGATCTACAAGAGTTTCTTCAAGCGGAATATTACACCAGTCAGTTTAGACCAGTATGTACCTAAGGTTTGCACTGTATGGATTTGTTACCTATCATCTCACTCAGAAAGAAAAGAGGAAACGAACCAGAGAGTAGGGAAGGGGCATAATTCCCCCGACCGTGGCTATACGCTAATAAGAGTTTGTGTATAGAGAATATAAACTCCGGGGTTAGGGATTGTGGCTCAGGTCACTATTGTGTCTGTAGCACCTGGAACAATGCTTTGGCCCATGGCCCTTCAATGAATACTCACTGAGTGAAATTTTCCAGATCATTCTGTTTTCCCACTTCTTAATTCTGTAAGGTAAATTTTTTTCATTTGGTCAAAATTCAGTCATGTTTTGAGTTATTAGCACATAAAACCGTTTATCTTGAAAGTTAAGATGTTTTCAGATATTTATGCTTCTGGTAGTTAACAATGCTCTTTTAATAAGTTAAAATGTCACGTGGATTTAATTTAAACTCCCTAGTAATGGTATTCCCAAAAGACTTAAAGTAAATAAATATAATTCACAGTTCTCTGAAAGTAGCTTATAATGAACATATACTCTGTCTGCGGTACTAGTGTGCATGCATGGTCAGTGTCCAGATAGCTTTTCAGAAAGTAATTATGAGAATCACCAAATTTTAATTTGAAATTGGATGTTTTTGCATTTGCACCAAAGAGAATTTTCAGCAGATACTTGCTGACTTCTTTTAAAAATGCAATGAACTGTATTTATAAACATTTTTTATAGGGCGCCTGGGTGGCTCATTTGGGTGACTATCTGCCTTAGGCTCAGCCAGCATCGGGCTCCCTGCTCAGCGGGGAGTTTGCTTCTCCTCCAGCTCTGCCCCTCCCCACTGCTCACGCACACTCTCTCTCTCTCTCTCTCTCTCTTTCTCAAATGAATAAAATCTTTAAGAAGATTTTTTTTGTCTACAAATACTTAAATTAAAAATAATGTGATATTTACAATTAAAACTCATGACTGATAAGACAGAAAATTTTAGATCTGAGGAATAACACAAGAATGTGAACATTGACTTATTCTTCTTGTGACAAATACAGAAGTGTCTGCTTTCCTTTTAGACAGTGCCTGTTCAAAAGTATTTTTTTCAAGGATAATAATCTCCACTTTGATTGAAAGGGAAAAAGAAAGTTAAAGAAGTGGTAAAGAAAAAACTTTTACATTGAAGCATGTTTTACATACCTTAGAAAAGCTACAGTTTTTCTGTAGTTGTCCATTTTTAGAACATTTAATAAGATTTAAAACTCTGGAAAGAGGAATTTGTATGTGGTATTAATTGCAAATGTCTTTCCAATCCAAGGTTGAATTAAAAGAATATTTGAAAATAAACGATGCCATATATGAGGTTGACGGCAGAGCTGAGAACGGCATGACTTTTTCACGTCTCCTTAATTGTCAGGTAACATTGATAACCCTTGAATATGAGGTTCCTACCCTTGGTGCCCTAAGAGATATTTACGAGAAGCAGCTGGTGCCTGACATCTATTGCACACCCTACAAACTACTGGTTCAAGGTAGTTTCCAGCTTGGACATCAGATCACACTGTGTTCCTTTCTATGATATCAGGTCTTAGTGAATTGGTTTGTTTTTTGCAGTCACTGTAAACAAATACCATGTGAAATCAGTGTGGGATAGAAAAAGAGTAGCCGTTTCCAATCTGATTCTAAGATCTGAAAGACTGTGCAGTGCCCAGCTGTGCGCACATCCTGTCAGTGGGCTGTTATGGTTAAGAATGAGACAATATTTTCTTCATTCAACTGATGCATATTATTTATTCAAACGGCTACTGAATTGTGAGGAAACACATACTTAAGTTGTATGTACCTAAATACCTAAGAAACAAAGCTGTTAGGTATTTCTTTTGGCCCTGGAGCTCCATGAACCAAGAAAATCTGCAGACCTCCCCCTTAAATGTTCATTCATTCAGCAATAAGTACAAAACGAGAAGAAATTTTTGTGGGTTATGTAGTTCAGATACTGGGTACCAGAATGTTAATGTCTGCTGTGTTAATGTTCTGTGACTTGTATTAAGGATATTAAAAAGGGGAGAAAGGGATTTTACAATATTTTTAGAATTCTGTAAAGGTGTATTATTCTAAATCTGTATGTTGGTTTCCAATAAAGTTGAAGAAAGTAAGATTTTTTAAATTTAAAAAAATTTTTTAAAGATTTATTTATATATTTATTTCATAGAGCGAGATCACGAGCAGACAGAGAGGCAGGCAGGGGAGGGGGAAGCAGGCCCCCACTGAGCAGAGAGCCAGATGTGGGCCTCAGTCCCAGGACCCTGAGATCATGACCTGAGCCTAAGGCAGAGACTTAACCCACGGAGCCACCCAGGCGCCCCGGAAGTGAGATTTTTACGTAATTTTGTGTTTTTAATACTGTATTGTTAAATAATTTTGTATTTTTGTATTTTTCCATATGTTGGGTTCCATGTGTCTGCTTGACAAATACATTTTTTATTTCTGAAAATTTATACTGTAGTATGATTGAATCTATGTTTTTGAAAACTATTAGTAATAGTAAAAGTATATCTTGTTTATGTGGTCCTTTGGCTGTTCTTAGGACCAATCTGAGTTTCTCTCTGTGGACTTCTTTGCTTTGCTCTGATAGAGATGAACATGCAGTGGGGTTATTAATAACATTTGCTATTTTCACTTCTTTAATTTAAAACCAAATACACCTAACAAAACCTTAATGACCTAAAAGTGGGACTTAACATTTTGATGTTTCATCTGGGTTTCATCTTTTCTTTTAAATGATCAGATTTATTAAATGAGAAGTTCAAAATCACAGAGCACTCTGGTAAATGACAGGTTTTCATGGTTGCTAACTAACTACCTTGTTCCTACATCTCATTGTACAGTATTCTGATACTCTGAAGAAGATGGATCCCGATCACTTGCTAGCATTGGTGACAGAAGTCGTTCCCAATTATTCCTGCTTAGTTTTTTGTCCCACTAAGAAGAACTGTGAAAACGTAGCAGAAATGATATGCAAATTTTTAAGCAAGTATGTTAATCTTCAAAAAATATTCTGTTGTATTTTATTGTGGTTTCCATGCTGTGTATTCTGTTTATTCAACAAGCACTTATTATTTCTTGTAGAATGTTACATTAAGTTGCTGTACTAGATTCTAAGGGCCCTAACCCTGAAGAAAGTGTAACCGTGAAATTCATGTCTGTGAAATAGCCAAAGAAAAATTCCAAGACTACGTGAGAGGGAATGCTGACCAGTGTAATGACTTAGATCAGTGATTCTCAATCTTGACTGCAAATGAATCCTCTCAAGGGCTTTTAAAAATCCAGGGCCCAGGTTATATCCCAGACAAATCAGACTCTCTGCGGGCGGGACCCAGGTGTCATTATTTTATAGAACTTTCCGGGCAGGTTCAGTATCCAGCCAAGGTCAGGAACTGGCTGTGGCAGAGGATCAGTCACTAATCACTGCAGATATGAGTCATCGTCTGTTTCAAAGATTTTACTGATTTATTTGAGAGAGACAGAAGCAGAGAGAGAGAGAGAGAGAGCAGCACGGGGGGCGGGGTGCAAAGGGAGAGAGAGAAGCAGACTCTCCGCTGAGCAGGGAACCCGACTAGGGGCTCAATCCCAGCACCTTGAGACAGTGACCTGAGGCAGAGGCTTCAGTGACTAAGCCACCCAGGTGCCCCACGAATCATAGTTCAGTTTAACCTTCTCTGTAATTAAGTACTGTTGCTTCTGTTTTCTTAGTAAACTTCACACTTACGTGGACATTTAAATTGAATTTCTTAGGTAATTAAGTAATTCATTAGTTTGTAATTTGATAGTATTTTAATATTGGCTCTGTTATATTCATAGAGATAAGTGTAAAGTGACCTTGAGTGTGAACAGTTGAGTTTTTTTCTGTACCTTCGTGCCGTGTGTAGTTTCATCGGATTTTTCAGACTTCTTTTTGGCCCCCTAACCAGTGCTGTATTACCATGGACCATTATTACCCTGGATTCTAATTTAGGCAGCTCCCATCTCCCCTTCCAGTCCTGCTGTCATGGATTGGTCTGATAGAGTTAAATTTATTGACCAGCACAAAGATCTAGATGTTTGGGATAGAGTCAAGGAGTTTTCCATTTTGGTAACTAATAGTCTGCCTTTACAATGATGATGTTGATTATAGAAACGTAAGGAAATTAAATTGTCATTGAGGTGGTCTCAGTAAGTCATTTGTTTTCATAGACTAAGGGAATTTTGGCACTGGCTAAGTGATGTGGAGATTTAGAGACTAACATTTGACTGGAAGACTTGCACTTTATTAGTTATACCCTTGAATTATTTTGCTTGTTGATGGTAATAGTTTACTTGGATCCTAAATGTTGATATTTAACAGTGAAGCACTTAAACATCTGGTTTTCCAGGACCCTTAGTTAACAAATTGTAATGGATACTTTTTTTTTCTTTTAAGATTTATTTATTTATCAGAGAGTGTGCCCGAGCCGGCGCAGGGGCAGAGGGAAGGAATCTCAAGCAGACTCCCCACTGAGTGCAGCCCCTACACAGGGCTTAGTCACATGACCCTGAATGACCTGAGCCTAAATCAGGAGTCAGATGCTCTACAGACTGTGCCACCCAGGCACCCCAATACTTGATACTTTCTTTTTTTTTTTTTAGATTTTATTTATTTATTTGGCAGACAGATCACAAGTAGGGGAGAGGCAGGCAGAGAGAGAGGAAGGGAAGCAGGCTCCCCGCTGAGCAGAGAGCCTGATGCGGGACTCAATCCCAGGACCCTGGATCATGACCTGAGCCGAAGGCAGAGGCTTTAACCCACTGAGCCACTCAGGCGCCCCTAAAAGTCATTCTTGACTTAGAAGTCAAAGGTAGTGACAACTATAAAAAAGATGATAATTTTCCTTGCGATTGAGAAAGTCACTTGGGAAAAATCTGTTTCAGTCTTTGCACTTAAGCAGACACAGCGCCTGTTCCACTGCTCAGGCAGCTTTTCTGCAACAGCTTCGCACACCACTCACAATAAGGAGGACATCCCAGGACGCCTACAGGATACAGTGGACATCCCAGGACGCTCAAGAAATCATGCTTTACAGACGTGGTTTGGGTCAGAAGCCATTTAGCTCAGGATTTTACTTCAGCTACATGTGAATTACAGAATAGTATTAAATAGTATGAGTAAAACATGATTCACCATTTCTTAATCGATAGCCATAAAAAAGGGTGCTAAACTATACTTGGAATATTCAGCTTATGAAAGCAGCAAGTAATATGCAAAATAGATTTTAGAGGAAATTTTCCTTCAGAAAGTATTAAGTCCTATTTCTTTAAGAAAGTATCAAGTAGGGGCACCTGGGTGGCTCAGTGGGTTAAGTCTGTCTTCGGCTCAGGTCATGATTCCAGGGTCGTGGGATGGAGCCCCACATCGAGCTCTCTGCTCTGCGGGGCGCCTGCTTCCCCCCTCTCTCTCTGCCTACTTGTGATCTCTCTCTGTCAAATAAATAAATAAAATCTTTTGGAAAAAAAAAAAAGAATGACTTTTAAACACCATTTGCCGACAACTGCCAAAGCTCTAGTCATATCAGTTTCCCTAACAATCTCCCCCAGAATGATACCACTGTGCTCTCTCAGTGTAGAATTCAGGCTGGGGTCCAGCTCACTTGTGCACCCTTACTGCTTTACCCCGCATTCCCCTCGCAGCTCCCCCGGACGACTCTCTTTGTCTGTGCTCTGAACTTGTTGTGTCTGTGCCTTCGATCATGCTTCCCCTTCTGCCAGGAAAGGGTGCTCCCCTGCCCCTTCACCTGCACCTCTCTGACACGCCCTCTTCCAGAGCCAGCTCAGACCTCTGCTTCTGCCGTGACCCCTTCGCCGCGTAACCACGGCTTACCGGTCAGCTATCAGTAGTGTCTCCATTCTCTAACGTTATGTGGTGATCATCCATATTTTCACCCCACGTAGGACGTAATTTCTTGAGAGGAGTTCGTCGTGTACATCCCTTTCATGACCCCACACACTGACTGGGAAGTGGTAACAGAGTTTGCTGCTCCCTCCTCAGCCGTCACTTCTCATTGCCATGTCCACGACTCCTGACCACGCTCTTCCCAGTTCTTCTTTGTTCTTCTTGTGTTCCTTGCACCCTGTTTCTCGTCTTCCTGTGACATCACTGGCCTCCTGTGGGTAACATCAGAGTAAGAGAGCCAGGGCTCTCCCTTATTTCCACGAAGCACCCTGAAACAGAGCGCGCATCGTAGACTGTGTCTTTTGGTGGCTGGTATTCGAAGTGAGTGAGTTATTCGTTGCACTTACTCTTTCAGTCCTTTCTCTCTTTTCTAAAAGGAACTTTAATAGGTGCTTTTAAATGCAGAGACGTTGTGGGATATGACTGACGGTTCTAAAATACTAGTGTTTAGACAGTCTGTGTTTTACATTAATACATGTGATTTGATTGTAAGTAGGTTTCCATCTTGAGAGAAGAACATTTATGACTTGGAATTTTTTAAAAATTCTATAATAATCATCAATAAAAATGTATATTCTAGTGAAAAAAATAATGGTAACATCTACAGGAGGTCTCCAACCCTAGCATCCATGGATTCATAGGCAGTATAAGAATGAACGTCAGGAAGTCCATGAATTTATAAGCAAAGTGTTATGTTTATATTGTGTTTTTTTTCCTTCCTTAGAGTCAATCAGATTTTCATAGAGTTCTGTGATCCACAAAGAGGTTGAGAGAATGCCCAATAGTTAATGAAATCAGAATCAAATTCTAAGAACATTTTGTATACTGAGATTCATGAAAGTAACGTATTTTTAATAAAGAATGTTTACATGTATCTACTAAAATTAAAACAGTGGGCAGGTTGTCACTCTAAGGTCGAGGGTTTATATTTCTAACAGATCTTTTTCCCTAGGGAGTATCTGAAACACAGGGAGAAAGAAAAATATGAGGTGATTAAGAACTTGAAGAGTATCAGCGGTGGCAACTTGTGCCCCGTCTTAAAGCGCACCATCCCCTTTGGTGTTGCTTACCACCACAGCGGTTTAACGAGCGACGAAAGGCGGCTCTTGGAGGAGGCATATTCCACGGGAGCTCTGTGCCTTTTCACCTGCACGTCCACCCTGGCAGCAGGTGTGAATCTACCAGCTCGAAGGTAAGGTAGCCATTGGCCAGGCTCAAAACTTTTTAATTCTTAGCTAGCTAGGAGTGTGTTTTGTTTTTTTTTTCTTTTTAAGATTTTAATTATTTATTTGACAGAGAGAGAGATCACAAGTAGGCAGAGAGGCAGGCAGAGGCAGAGGGTGGGGGGAAGCAGGCTCCCCGCTGAGCAGAGAGCCCGATACAGGACTCGATTCCAGGACCCTGAGATCATGACCTGAGCCAGAGGCAGAGGCTTTAACCTACTGAGCCCCGCAGGCGCCCTTTGCCAGGAGTTTTTGTTGTTTTATTCCTTCTCAGGAGTGGATGAGAATTTATCAGACGTTTTTTCATCATTTGCTGAATTGATAGTTTGGTTTGTTTCCTTCAGTTTATTTATTTATGTTTTAAGATTTATTCATTTATTTGAGAGTCGGGGGAGGGGGAGGGAGACACTCAAGCAGACTCTTCACTCAACACTGAGCCCAATGCGGAACTCCGTCTCATGACCCTGAGATCAGGACCTGAGCCAAAACCGAGAGTCTGCTGCCTAACCAACTGCGCTGCCCACGTGCCCCTCATTTGTTTCCTTTAATATTTTAATGAAAAGTAACCAGTAGATTTCCTGGTATTAGAATTACTTCTTTGGGGTTCTCCCTATCTGGTTCGACGTTAGGGTTTATTTTTCTAGTTGCAAACAGCAAGCTCTACCATTTTTTATGATCCGAGTTTATTTAACATAGGTATTTCCTTGAGCTTAGAAAACTCATCCATAAAGACTTCTGGTCTAGTATCTTTTCCAGAGTAGAACTTTGACCATCTTTTCAGTTATTACCCAAGTTATGGGCTTGTATAACTGATGTCTGCTCTTTATAATTTTTATTTAAAAATTTGACTTTAAAATTTGTGACATTTTTTCAAAAGCTTGGGTGATTTTTAAAAATCATCCACATTAAAAAACATATGTATTTTCTGTTGGATACACAGTTTATACAGCTCCATGAGATCACAGTTATCTGTGTGATCAGCTCCCTTGATCTTCTTACTATCTGTGATTCTTCGATCTGTCCATCTCAGGGATTGTGTTAGTCTCCCACTGTTACTATGGAGTTGCCTTTCTCCTTTTTGCATTTCTGGAAGTTTTTGCTTTGTATTTCAAAACTGTTTAGGTATACACAGGTTCATTTCAACGATCTTACTGCTGAATCATGCTTTTTATCAATATAATTGGTCCTTGTTTTTCTCACTGAGTGTTTTCACTTTGAACACTAGGATTACGTTTTCCTTGCAGAGTATATCTTTCTTCACTCTTTTATTTTCATCTGTCAGTTTAAATTTTCCATTTTTCAGACAATTGGAGAATGAAAAAGGAAGTTAGATATCTTATTTCTCTTATCCCAGTTGTTACTCTTAATTGTAACAGCTGTAATCAAACATGCTTTTCTGCCATTTTAGGATTAATCAATGACTGTTTCCCCTCCGGAACATAACCGTAGTCTTATTCCTTGTGTATTCTCCTGTAGTGCCTCATGTATGTTGCAGCTATCTGGAGTTTTAGTGCCAGATTTTTAATTGCATTTCATCTTATAGTCCGTAATTATTTAAACCTTCCTGTAAATTATACTTGTTTTGTTGCTTACTGCTGCCTCTTATATCCCATGTCTTCCTTCTATGATTTACTTTTTATTTTGCCATCCTTGAATAATTCTTTTTATTTTTTTTAAGATTTTATTTATTTATTTTTTGATAGAGCATGAGTGGGGGGCGGGGCAGAAGGAGAGGAACAAGCAGACTCCATGTGGAGCGCAGCGCCCAGTGCGGGGCTCAATCCCATGACCCTGAGATCGTGACCTGAACTGAAGTCAGACACTTAACTGACTGATCCACCCGGCACCCCCCAATTAAAGTTTTTTAAGGTTCTTTCTGTCCCTGTTTCTGTCAGATGTTCTGTGTATTCTGCCTCTTCTTTATGCCCTTAGTTTTCTCCAGGTGTTTGTAACCTTGGCTGTCTACTGAGGTTCGTAAAGGAGTAGGCTGATTAGCAGATAGGTGACATAGGTCTCTCACTTCTGAACAGGAAAGCTGGCTACAGGCTTCCAACTACGTTAGCAGAATTGAAATTACCATATTTGTGGGTCAAAAACAGTCGAAACCTGCAATGTTACATAGTTGACAGTAACATAAATTAATAAATATGCATATGTTGGTGATGCATGATCCTATTTTTCATTTATGGGGTGTAGAATCAGTCTTTGGAGGCTGTTGCTCTAGTAATAGTCCAGCTCTGTAGGCCAGCCAGCACATTCAAAGCATGTCCTGGTAGTTACTAGTTTTGTGTGTTGAGGTGAACCACTTAGTTTGTCTGTGCTTCACTTAGCCCCTTCGTAAAAATTAAAGTGAAGTAATAAAGAACGTTGTTACCAAGAATTTTGTTAGAATTACTGATACTGTACCTGAAGACTCTAGGACGTCACCGGTTCTGGTTAAATGGCAGTGACTTACTTTGAGTTAACATGTCATTCAATTTAATATCACCATATAATGAAACTAAGAATTAAAAAAATAGGCAGTATTATAGAAGGAGTATCACTTTTAATTAATATTATCAATTCCATAGAGTTATTTTAAGAGCTCCCTATGTTGCGAAGGAATTTTTAAAGAGGAGTCAGTATAAGCAGATGATTGGCAGAGCCGGCCGTGCTGGAATAGATTCTGTTGGGGAGAGTATCCTTATACTGCAAGAAAAAGACAGGCAACAGGTAATCGTCTGGCTGTTGGTTTGTTGTTTTATCTTTTTTTTTTTTTTTGGTCTTCGGTCTAGCCCTTTTATGATATCATCTTTTAAAAATTAGTTATTAATATTTCTTTCAATAATGTTTCTTTCTCCTCTATGATTAGGAATGACAAAGAATAGTTTGAATACTTTTGTAGTTCAGGCAAGCAGTGAAAAGTATTTTCCTTATTTATCGTTCTTCCATTTTCGTGAGAACACCTGCTAAATTCTTATTTGTTTCTCTTTATGGCCTTAACACCCCCTGTTTCCACAAGATCTATGCAAAATATAAAATTTTATATGGAACACTTAATTTTCTTATAACAACACAAAACATAATATTGCTTTAACTTTTGTAGGTATCAGAGTTAATAAGCAGACCATTGGAAAATTGTTATAGCCATCTTGTTCAAGAATTCACCAAGGGAATCCAAACTTTGTTTCTCTCTTTGATTGGTTTGAAGGTATTTTTCATTATTTTTAAATCTTATTACCATTATCTGAGATAATAGCAATTTAAAAGTTATGAGAACTGTAAGTATGAAAAAAATGCTAACTTCTAATCTAATGTGGAAAAGAAAAATCTGACATAAATCTGAATCTAGATTTATATGTCCATTTTAATGCTTTGAGTTTTATAAAATATGAAAAATGAGCAAATCATAACTGCACATTATTACAAGTGAGAGACTTTTTTGTATACGCTGGGGGATGTAAGAAGCGATAAGGACATAGGTCCTGATGTGGGATTATCCATCATCTCTATCCTGGTTAAGAATAAGATTCACCGGTAGTCCTGTGATCATTCTAGGATATTGTAAACATTTGGGAGATTAGTATAGCCTTTATCAGGCAGAAAATTTAAAAAGAAAAAGGCACAGCAGGAAAACACTCTTTTTCTTAGAAATTAGCTCTCTCTTTTAGGGTTACTCTTGAGTTAAACTTCTTTTTTATGGTTATACTTTTTTTTTTTTAAGATTTGTTTATTTATTTGAGAGAGAGAGGGAGAATGAGCTGGGGGAGGGGCAAGGGGAGACAAAATTTCAAGCAGACTCCCCACTGAGCCTGGAGCCCAATGCGGAGCTCGGCAGGGCTCGATCCCATGGTCTTGAGATCATGACCTGTGTGGAAATCAAGAGACAGATGCCTGGCGCACCTGGGTGGCTCAGTCGTTTAAGCATCTGCCTTGGGCTCGGGACATGATCTCAGGGTTCTGGGCTTGAGCCCTGCCTCGGGTTCCCTGCTCATCGAGGAGTCTGCTTCTCCCTCTTCCTCTGCCTCTCCATCCTGGCTTGTGCTCTCTCTCTCTCTCGCTCACTCACTCTCTAATAAAATCTTTTTTTTTTTTAAATATTTTATTTATTTATTTGACAGAGATCACAAGTAGACAGAGAGGCAGGCAGAGAGAGAGGGGGAAGCAGGCTCCCTGATGAGCAGGGAGCCCGATGCGGGGCTCCATCCCAGGACCCTGAGATCATGACCTGAGCCGTAAGCAGAGGCTTTAACCCACTGAGCCACCCAGGCGCCCCTCTCTCAAATAAATCTTTTAAAAAAAAAAAATCACTAACCAGCTGAGCCATCCAGGCACCTCTGTGGTTATTCTTAAGTAAATTTTAATTTTGTGAGAGGTCATTTGGTTGTAAAGTGGCAAAGCCAGGGTTTGAATTTGTTGTTCCACGACAAAACCAATGCTCTTGGGGCACCTGGGTGGCTCAGTGGGTTAAGCCCCTGGTCCTGGGATCAAGCCCTGCATCAGGCTCGCTGCTCAGCAGGGAACCTGTTTCCCCCTCCCCCTCTGCCTGCCTCTCTGCCTGCTTGTGATTTCTCTCTGTCAAATAAATAAATAAAATCTTTTAAAAAAAAAACAACAACAACAACAACAACAAAAACAGTGCTCTTAACCTGTCATGCAGTCTGCCTTCATTAACCCAAACGGTTTAGGTGAAAATAAAAGGAGAGATTAATGAACAAAAATACCATAAGTTTTGATTACCTTGTAGATGTATAGTGGCAACATTCCCTGGCAGTTCAGAATAGTGAAAGGTGATAAGGAAGAAAAGGAATCAGTGCTGGGTAGTGAAAGAGATAGAAGTTGTAGATCTGCAGAGGGAGGGAATAAGCCGCTCAGAGTACTTCACGTAGAATTGATGGTGAGAAAGCTTAAGGCAATGTGAGGTGACAGTCAACAGAATAGATTGTGTAGCTCTAGACGAGGGCTGCAGATCCTGAAGAGTTGAAAACTGGGTGGGAAAAGGTAGGCCAGAAGTGTGCTGTAAATTGGGTGAAATGGGAGAGCATGTTTAAATTGCAAACTATAGGGGCGCCTGGGTGGCTCAGTGGGTTAAGCCTCTGCCTTCGGCTCGGGTCATGATCTCAGGGTCCTGGGATCGAGCCCGCATCGGACTCTCTGCTCAGCAGGGAGCCTGCTTCCTCCTCTCTCTCTGCCTGCCTCTCTGCCTGCTTGTGATCTCTGTCTGTCAAATAAATAAACAAAATCTTTTTTAAAAAATAAATAAATAAATAAATAAATTGCAAACTATAGAGTTGTGACACTATCACTTGTCAGTGGAGAATTAGTGACATGTGGTGGTTGAGAGCAAGTCCTCTGATATCACACATGGCTGTGTCCCAGTCCCAACTCTGTCTCTTACTACTCTGCTTAAGTTATTAGCTGTCTCTTAGACTTCCCTCAGTTGCCTTATCTGTAAAATGGGGATAATAGGGTAGAGCGGTATTGAAAGACTAGTTTAGGAGCAATTGTAGTAATCCACATATAATGTAATGAGACCTGCAGTAGGAGGGTTGCCAAGGAATTAGTAAGGGAGGGAGAGCTCATGAAGATCACCAAGCCTTACTACATTTATATATTCAATAAGGTAATAGACTCAGAGTCGGTGAGTAGTGTAGCATCATTCAGCGAGTTACGATTTAGATTGAACTATAATTTAGGTTCCTGCCTTGCTGGCCTGTACTCTGTCCAGTACACCATTGTATGTGTAGAATATTCCTCAAATGCCCATGAAATATCTCACCATTGTATACCGTATTCTGAGACCATAGACAAATATCAATACATTTAAAAGGATTGAAATCAAATATAGCACGGTATCTACTGGAAGCAATTATAATATACCAGCAGTAATAGAAGGGTACCAGGAAATTACTCAAATATTTGGAAATTAAATAAGTATACCTTGACCAAAATCACAAGGGATATTAGAAAATATTTCGAATGGAAAGAAAATGAAAAAAGATGTATCAGAATTACTGGCATGAACCCAAAGAAGTGCTTAAAAGGACATTTATGGCTTTAAATCCTTGTTAGAATACAAGAAAGATCCAGATTCACTGGTCTAAGTTTTACTTTAGGAACCTGGGTGGGGGGCGGGGGACTCAAAGTAGAATAAAGGAGATAATAAAAATAAAAACAAATGAAATAAAAAGTAAATAAACAGGAGAAAAAATAATGAAACTACAAGCTAGTTTTTTGAAAAGATCAGTAAGATTATTGACTGAATTCATCAGAGGGAAAAGAGAACACTTCACTTACCAATATTAGGGTCATTCCTAATAGGGTCATCACTGAAGATCCTAGAGATAGTAAAGCTATAGTAAGGAATAATCCTTGAAATATTATAGCCTTGAATGCTAAAAAAATGAATTCAACTACAAATATTCTCGGAAGACACAATTTCCAAAATTGACTGAAGAAGTAAAAAGTTTAGTCCTAGATCTATTAAAGAAATTGAATTTATAATTTAAAACTTGCCACAAAGAAAACTCCAGACCTGACTTCATTGGTGAATTCTATCAAACATTTAAGGAAGAAATAATATCAATCATACACATATTCTTCCAGAAAGTAGAGGAAGAAGGAATACTGCTCATCTCATGAAACCAGCATTATTCTGATACCAAAATCAGACAAAGATGTTACAAGAAGAAAAAACTACAGGCCAGTATCTCGTAAAAATAGATAAAATCCTATCCAAGTATTGGTAATCCAGCAACATAATCAGAGTTTATTCCAGTAATGCAAAATTAACATTCAAAATTCAATGTTACTATTCATTTGACAGAATTCAACACCCATTCATGATAAAAACTCAGCAAACTAGGAGGAGAAGAGGTAAAGGAAGTTTATTTAAAAAAAAAAACAAAACAAAACTGGGGCGCCTCGGTGGCTCAGTGGGTTAAGGCCTCTGCCTTTGGCTCAGGTCATGATCCCAGGGTCCTGGGATCAAGCCCCGCGTTGGGCTCTCTGCTCATCGGGGAGCCTGCTTCCTCCTCTCTCTCTCTCTGCCTGACTCTGCCTGCTTGTGATCTCTGTCTGACAAATAAATAAATAAAATCTTTAAAAACAACAACAACCACTATAGGTACCATCACACTTAATAGTGAAAGATTACATGTTTTTCCGTCTAAGATCAGGAAGAGAAAGGAGGTCTGCTCTCACCCTACTTTTCAGCATATATTGGAATCCTGGCCCATACAAGACAGGAATGAGGGCATATAGATTAGAAAGGAAGAAGTAAAACTGTCTTATTTGCTGATACTAGGTTCAAGAAAAATATCCAAAGGAATGTAGGGGAAAAAACTATAGAGTCTAATCAGCACTGTAATAGGATACAGGGTCAGTGTATGAAACTCAGTTATATTTGTATACTCAACTACAAATAATTGGAAAAACAACTCCATTCATAATAGCATCAAAAAACATACAGTACTTAGGGACAACTTTAATATGTGTCAGATCTGTACACTGAAAACTGTAAAACTTGAGAGAAATTGAAGGAGACCTAAGTAGATGGAGAGAGGTACCATGTTCAAGAATTAGAACATTCAGTTTTGATCAGATGTTACTTCCCAACTTGGTCTATAAATTTAATGCAATACCAGCCAAAATCTCAGTAGATTTGTTTGTAGAAATTGAAGTCTGATAGAATTTATTTGGAAATGCAAAGGAGTAGATTAACCAAAATTCATTTTGTGAAAAAATGACAAATTTAGAGTGTTCACACTATTTCAAGAACTAACTATAAAGCTTGAGTAATCAAGACAGTGCGATACTGGCACAAGGATCATATAGACCAATAACAGATCAGTAAGTCCAGGATTAGGTCCACGTATGTGATCAGTTAAAAAAATGATCGTCTCTACACTCAACGTGGGGCTCGAACTGAGGACACCAAAATAAAGAGTTGCGTGCTCCACCAGCTGAGCCGGCCAGGTATCCCTATGTATCGTCAGGTTTTAGCAAAGGGTGTCAGGATATTTAAAGGGACAAAGGATAGTTTTTCTCAATAAATGGGGCTGGAGCAACTAGATATCTATATAGAACAATAACAAAAAACTAACCTGTACTCTTACCTCACACTAATTTTGTCAAAAATCATTAATTCAAAGTGGACCATAGACCTAAACTTAAAGGGAAGAACGTATAGGGAAGAATTTTTTGTTACCTTGGGTGATTTCTTATGTGGGAAGCAAAAAACAAAGACCATGAAGGGAAAGATCTATCAAATAGACTTCATCATAATTTTAAAAATTATCTTCAAAAGACAGTGCTGAAATGAGAAGGCACAGGACATATAATACATACATCTGACAAATATGTATATGAGATAGGACTCAGAAAAATGTAGTGGAATTGGGAGGGAGTTGGGACTCACTTAAGACAGACGCACTCAAGTAACAGACTGGGAGGACGGACTTGGCCACAGGGGTATGGTTTCATGGGCCTGGCAGTCCAAGATCTATGGGACACAAGAGTTGCATTTAAATTCTGTTTTAACGGTTGAAGTACAACAGCAAGAAGTCTAGGCAGGAGATTAGCAGGTGGGCAGCTGTTGTTCCAAGCCTACCCACAGGAGACAGAACTCAAGAAACTGGACCCATCCATGAAGAGGTCAGGCCACCAGGGTTCCTCTTACACCTTGGGGTAAGGGCTCACAAGGGGGCTGTAGTCATGGAAGAAGGCTGGAACTCTAAACACAGTGGAAAGTAGGAAGACCGTTAGAGTTGGAATTAAAGCAGCAGTCAAGTCCTCTGGACAGAAACATGCAGCTAGAAGAGAGGGGAGAAGCAAGAAGGGCAAGGTCTGTGACTTGGGCAGTGAGGTTGGGGGCAGGAGGATACAGATGAGCACCCCTGGAGAGACTAAGTCCTTGCTTTGGTGGAGGAGAAGGAAACTCTAGGAATTAATGAGAGCACTTAACAAGTTGGGCCACAGGATTTGGGGAGCCTCCAGTAATTTTTTTATCACAACCATGTTTCAGACACTGTTAGACACTATGTGTTTTATCTCTGATCCTTGCATACCTTCGGATTAAGTAATATAATTCCCCTTTTACAAAAAAAGACTGAGGCAAAGAGAGGCAGGTTCTGTAGGCTGCTTGTAGCTTTATCCCTGCTCCTGGACACGGGTCCGTGCTCCTAGTGTCTCCTGTGTGGGTCAGTGTGGTTGTCCCCTCACTGGTCTGACTGCCTTGCGTCCATTCTGCCATGCCTTCCCACGTCCCCTCCAAATGATCATTCACGCAGATTGGTCTTGTCAAAACGTAAACTCAGAATGTGCTGCCCATCTCTACTTAAAATTTGTCCCATTGGTTTCCCATTGTTTTTAGGATTTAGGAAGCCCAAGTTCCTTGTCATGGTCTACATGGTAGATTTGGCCTCTGCCTGTCTGCCTTGTCCTCTCACCAGCCTCCTTGCACTCTGCACCCCAGGCACACTGGCCTTCTCGGTCCTTCCACACCAGTGCTCACTAAGCCTAGGACTCGCCCATCTTCCCCACTCCATCTCCCGTCTCACCCTCACGCACTCGACCTGGAGGCTTCACTTAACCATCCCTCCTCAGGGAAGCCCCCCTGTGCCTCTATGTCCAGTCAGTTTACTGTATGCTTGAGCGAACCACGTTGCTTTAGTAGAACCTATCAGTTTGTAATTATATGCTGGTTAGTGCAGTGATCCCTGTTGGAATGTAAGCCCTGTGCCAACAGAGCCCACGTTTATTTTTACTTGTCCCTGACTCCCAGTGCCTAACACAGTTCCTGGCATGTGGTCGGTGCTCTGTCAGTACTTGAACGAATGAATGGATTGACTTGGAGTCAGGCATGGGTGAACCTGAAGCTTGGGGCAACAGTAGAGAATCTAGCTTTGAGAAGCTGTGGAGGCCAGAGACAGAGGCTAGACCAGTGGGTGTAAATCACTGTGCTATAAGATTTTCATAGAGGGATAGAAAGATAACACGATGGTAGCTAGAAGGATCAAGTATCCCCAGTGTTAACGGAAATCAACCAGGTAGAAAACAATTCAGCGACTAAGTTCATTGATAATCTACACACTGAGAATCAGTCTAGAGTATCTTAAAACTGTAATTTTGTCCTAATTGAATATTATATTTAGAATGAATTTTGGGGTGCTTGGGTGGCTCAGTCAGTTAAGGGTCCAACTCTGGATCTCAGCTCACGTCATGATACCAAGGTTGTGAGATTGAGCCCAGCATCGGACTCCCCACTGGGTGTAGATCCTGCTTAATATTCTCTCTCTCAAAGAATAATAATAGTAATAATAATAATAATAATAAAATATCAGAACATTTCCAAGAAAGTGAATTTTACTAAAAGGAGGAAAAGCAATAGAAAATGTCTATGCCTCATCATGGTTTTTGTTAACCCTTATTTGGGTTTGGCATCCAATGACTACGTTTTCCAGTTGAAAGTATCCTCAGAACTGTAAGAGAAATGCGCTTGTTGACTATATTTTAGTACAACATGCTGACTTCATTAAAATTAGCTAACACAAAATCCTAATTCAGCATCATCTCTACATCTGAATACCAAATGGAAGGTTAAGTATTACGATTGCCGTTATAGGTTTTAAATAGTGACTAAGGGGGAAAGGGAAGGCAACAGAAGAACAGGAATGAGAGAGACAGAAAGAGAAGAAGACTGCTATTCATTTTTAGGTGATATGCAGGAAATATTGCCTGCTCCTGTTTCATTGGAGACTTTCGGTTGCGTTTTGCATGGGTGTATGTGTGTGTGTGTGTGTGTGTTTTAATATCATTTCTATTGCTAAAGAATGCTTTTACAGGTGGGTGGAAAGGGGTGAAGGGAGGACTTCTGAAGGAGGCTGAGTGGGAATTAGTGATAATTGGAGAATAAACAGCACAGCTTTGGAGAGACTGAAAAGTCACTCAAAAATCTGAGGAGTTTTTGAGTGAAAAATATGTACAGGTTTTCATTAGAAGTATGACTATGATAACTTCATTAAATTGTTTCTCATTAATTTTAAAACATCACTATACAATTATCCTTACATACGTGACTATGTCAATTTCATAGTAATTTATTTCGGTGTCTTTGAAGTGTGCCCCAGTGACGTCCTGAATCGTTTCAGATTGCAACAAGTCTTGATGACATATGTCACTTTATGGGTGGCACATTGTTTGGTGTTCAGCAGAAGATTTTGTTGAAGGAAAAAAGTCTGCGGGAAATAACTGTCGAATGGCTTAGATACCTGACAGAAAAAGGACTTCTACAGAAAGACGCTGTTGATAAGTCCAAAGAAGAGATCGAATACAGCTTTCATATTACAAAACTGGGACGAGCTTCTTTTAAGGGTAAGAGTTTACCTAAGTTTCTAAGGAAATGTGCTGGGGAAGAAATAGAAATTAAATCATTCTCTTTCTTTAAATTGGAACTGTAATTTCATATTAATAACATTAATCTTATAAGCTATTAGACTACTTTAGCTTTTAAAAGTTGAAAAATCAGGGCGCCTGGCTGGCTCAGTAGAGCATGCGACTCCACCTTGGGGTCGTGAGTTCAAGACCCACGTGTGTAGAGCTTTCTTTAAAAATAGTTTTTTTGTGTAAATAAATAAGTTGAAAATATGTTGGGGTTTTTTGGTTTTTTGTTTTCATTTTTTTTTTTCAGAGAGGGAGCAGGGAGGGGCAGAAAGGAGGGAGAGAGGGAATCCTAAGGAGACCACATCCACCAGGAGTCTGACTCATGGTTTGATCTTACAACCCTGAGATCATGACCTGAGCCGAAATCGAGAGTTGAACGTTTAACCAACCGAGCCACCCAGGCGCCCCGAAAAATGTTTTGGATTACATGTAATTTAAGATACTCTAGAAGTATTTGGGGAAATAGATGGTAATCCCCCTTCACACACCCCCTCCCCTAGCAATCACGCAAATCTTAATATCCTACCAAGAATAACAATTTGGCTTATGTCTTTTCAGACAGTTTCTGTACATTTCCTTTCAATGCATAATACATACTTGTATACAAGTTTGAGATTTTTTAGCTTTTGTTCTTAAATAAATAATCATTTGTATTGTTCCAGAATATGCTTTTTTTGCTTAATATCTTAAAAATTGTTCCACAGCAGTGAATGGTTTTTTCTTAATGGCTACATCATAATTTACTTAATGAAAAATAATACAGGTCTATTTTTAAAAAAAAATCCTTAGAACTCAGAATTATGTAAAGGAAAATCCCATTCTCCTATCCCATTTCCACTCTCCCAGGGGCAACCACTGTTAGCAATTTGATGTATATCCTTGCATATGTTATTATGTATATAGATAAATATGTGATGTATTTACATTTGTGTATATGTATATGTGTATAGATTTTATTATATATCATGTATATACATTTATATATGTTTTATACTTTATTTTTTCAGATGAAATCGTAGTTGTGGGTATTTTTTGGCTTGCTTTTCTTACTTGAAATATTAGGAGCATCTTAACATGTCGGTCCCTTTAAATCTACCTCATTTTTCTTTGACTACTGTAATCATCCGTAGTCTGGATACCATAATTTAGTTAACCATTCCCCTACTGATGGACATTTGCACAGACTTTTTGTTTTCTCAATTATAAACAAAGCTGCAATGGGCATCACTATTTATGTATTTTTGAGTATATGTGGAAATGTTTCTCTGGGTTAGATTTCCAGAAACAAAGTATTTGGGTCAAAAGGTGTGTACTTATGAAATATTGATATATACTATCAAAATGACCTCCAAAATAGTTATGCGAAATTACATAAGAAGAGATTTGGGGGGGGCGTGGGTGAGATAGATAAAGGGATTAGCAGCACAGTCATCATGATGAACACTCAGTGATGTACAGCATTGTGGGATCACTATACTGTCCACCTGAAACTAATACAACACTGTATGTTAACTATAACGGAGTTAAAAAAAACTTGAGAGCTTTTGAAGACTTTTTGCTATATATAGGTAACTTCTAAATAAGACGCTTTAAAAATCACGTTGTTTCCCTTTTGGTAATTATGAAAGAGGAAATATTTGATCTTTCTTTTAGGAACTATAGATTTGGCTTATTGTGACATTCTCTACAGAGATTTGAAGAAAGGTCTCGAAGGTCTTGTGCTTGAAAGCCTTCTTCACCTAATTTACCTAACAACTCCCTATGATATGGCTTCTCAGTGTGTCCCTGACTGGATGATATACTTCAGGCAGGTAAGATTATAAGGTTCTTCAATATAGGCTATTTTATTTATTAATGACGATGGAATTTTTGTCTAGTGATTATTCACTTTTTGTCTCTACTAAAGTGTATTTGAAATTGGGTCTTTCATGTTTCAGTTTTTTTAAATAGTATTATGACAATAGCATCTTCAGTTTATTTAACTTAAATACTACTTTTCTGTTAAATATAAACATGTTCATTATCAGGAAAAAAAAAAGAGGATCATCCCTGTTCCCATTCCGCAAAGATAGTTACTGTTACAGTTTGGTGACCACTCCACTTTATGTTGCCTACAGTGTGAAGAAAACCGTGAAAGCCGGGTTTTTTTGGAGACTTTAATTACATGAACGCTCTATGAGAGCCAAGCCTGATGACTAAGCCCAGTGATGTTAATACTGAGAAGGAATGTCAGTTTTATCACAATAGGAAGGTGCAGCTGGTCCTGCACATCATCTCAGTATTAAACATAACCACATAATCTGTGGAAACCCTAGTGGAAACCACAGTGCTTGTGACCATGCCTTTATGTATTCTGCTAAAATGTGTTATATTTTAATAATACATGTTTAAGCTTACAATTTGTATAAATAAATTGGTGGTGTTTTTCTCATATTCTTTAAAAGCATGAAAATGTGGTATCAGCAAATACTGGATTTGGTTCAAAAGGCAGATTTTTTTAAAGTTACAATTTGAGGGGTGGCTGGGTGGTCCAGTTAGTTAAGCATCCCACTTTTGATTTCAGCTCAGGAGGTGATCTCAGGGTTGTGAGATCGAGCCCTGTGTCAGGCTTTACGCTCAGCAGGGACTCTGCTTGAGATTCTTCTCTCCCTCCCTCTCTGCTCTCCCACACACACTTTCTTGCTCTCTCTCAAATAAATAAACATTTTTTTTTAAAGTTAAAATTTGAGGGGCGCCTGGGTGGCTCAGCGGGTTAAGCTGCTGCCTTCGGCTCAGGTCATGATCTCAGGGTCCTGGGATCGAGCCCCACATCCGGCTCTCTGCTCATTGGGGAGCCTGCTTCTTCCTCTCTCTCTGCCTGCCTCTCTGCCTACTTGTGATCTCTCTCTGTCAAATAAATAAATAAAATCTTTAAAAAAAAAAAATAAAGTTAAAATTTGATTTTTTTCTGTGTTTACTCTTTTTAAACGTAGTTTAGCCAGCTCAGTCCAGCAGAACAAAATGTAGCTGCTCTTCTTGGAGTCTCTGAAAACTTTATTGGGAAGAAAGCATCAGGTCAAGCTATAAAAAAGGTACCATAGTCTTTTTTTCTCTTCCTAAGTAAGTTGACTTAGCAAAATTAATGCTATTGTATTATCTCTTTTGTTGATTCGATCTTTTCATTTCATATTTTTTTCTTTAAGTTAATACGATTTCCATTTTGCTATTTAAAACGTGAGGACCAGAAATTTGGGCATTTTTTAAAAACAGTATTTTCGGATGGTGTGATGTGTTTTTTTGTATGTGTACCTTTGCATTTCTGAAACACTGTCAAGCACATATAAGCTTCCTATCGTAGGAGAAGGTAAACCTTCTTAATCTCTTTTTCTTGGGCTACTTATGGCTTACATTATAAAAATTGTAAAGTTTTTATAAAATGTTTTATAAAATGTATATAAATGTTTATATATATATATTTTATATATATATATAATGTTTATAAAATGTATATAATCCTGAAATAATTTCAGTTCAAGGGAGGAAAATGTATCTTCTAGAAACTCTTTTTAAAGTAATCTCCACACCCAGCATGGGGCTTGAACTTACAACAAGATCAAGAGTCGCATGCCCTTCCGACTGAGCCACCCAGACACCCCCCTAGAACATTTTTTTTTTTTTACATAATCTCTACACCTCATGTGGGGCTTGAACTCATGACCCCAAGATCAAGTGTCACATGTTCCTCTGACTGAGCCAGCCAGGTGCCCCCCCAACACCTAGAAACTCTGTTAGGCATTCTGCTTGATGTCAGAGATTCCAAGATAAAATAGGTTTGAGGTTTTCATTGTTGTCGTTTGTTGTTCTTTAAGAACTCCCAATCTAGTTAGTACTTGAACTACATAAAATTCTGTAGAAGGTTGAAGTTGATAAATTAATACTTTTTTGTGTAATATTCTTATGTTACAGTGTTTTGAAGTTTAGTCAACAAATATAAAGCAAATGTCTAATACACTAACTTCAAGAAGAATGGAAATAGGGGCCCCTGGATGGCTCATTTGGTTAAGTGTCTGCCTTCAGCTCAGGTCATGATCTCAAGGTCCTGAGACTGAGCCCCACGTTGGGCTTCTTGCTCAGCGGGGAGTCTGCTTCGCCATCCCCCTCCGCCCCCACCCCCACCCCCAGCTAGCTCGTGCTCTCTCTCAAGCAAATAAAATCTTTAAAAAAAAAGAATGGAAATAATTTTTTGGCAAACATCCCTTCAAATCCTAAAGTTAATTTCATTTTCTGCCTTATAATACACTTTTTTTCATTTTTAATTTTATCGGTAATCTAATCTTTATTGAAACCTAATTATCTTACCTGTCATTTCCCCTGTGTCTTTAATTACATAAATATTACTAATTTCATTTTGAAAAGTGAAAGATGGTATTTACTCACATTAGAATTGAATGTTTAGTTGTTGAGTGTTCATGTTATCACAATATTTTGATTGGGTCTTTTACCTCAGAAATGCCTATGCTGCTTAGACATTCAAAATGTTAAATAAAAATATTTCATAAAACAAACGTTTTATATACAACTTTAACATATAAAATAAAAAAATCAAAATAATTTGAGGGGCACCTGGGTGGCTCAGTGGGTTATAGCCTCTGCCTTCAGCTCAGGTCATAATCCCAGGGTCCTGGGATCGAGCCCCACATCAGGCTCTCTGCTCCACAGGGGAGCCTGCTTCCTCCTTCTCTCTGCCTGCCTCTCTGCCTACTTGTGATCTCTGTCTGTCAAATAAATAAATAAAATCTTAAAAAAAAAAAAGAAGAGTCCTCCTTTAAAAAAAAAATAATTTGAAACTCATTAACAAATAATAAACATTTACAAAATCTTTTTAGAATAATGCATCTTTTTAAACTTGGATCAGAATTTATTTATTTTATTAACATATAATGTATTATTTGCCCCAGGGGTACACGTCTGTGAATCGGCAGGCTTGCACAATTCACAGCACTCACCATAGCACATACCCTCCCCAGTGTCCATCCCATCCCGCCACCCCATCCCTCCCCCACCCCCAGCAACCCTCAGTTTGTTTCCTGAGATTAAGAGTCTCTTATGGTTTGTCTCCCTCCTGATCCCATCTGTTGCATTTTTTCCTTCCCTTCCCCGCATAACTCCTGCCCTGCCTCTCAAATTCCTCATATCAGAGAGATCATATGAGAATTTATTTTTGTTAATGAAATATAGTCAATAAATTTTCAGTTGATTTAATTTCTAGAGAACAAATTTACTTAAAATCAAATTTATTTCTCTACATTGAAAAAGACACTCCCGTTTTTCTTTAGATATTTCTTATGAAAGATCTTGAAATTGGTATAAAGCATCTTTTCCTACCTTGTAATTAAATTATATCATTTTTCTTGGCTTAGAAAATACATTCTAAGCAAAATCTACATTGACTCAAATGAAGGTGCACCAAAATTGGGAAATTGAAAAGCAATTTCTCCCTACTGGCAGTTCAACTATCGTGATTTTCAGCTTGATGCTTTTTAAAAGTATCAACGTGTAGAATCCGTAATTCAGTCTTCAATATGCCACTGTAAGTTCTCATCCCATTCTTTTACCACCATAGGGATACAATTTTATATTTTATACCCACTTTTTCTCCTTCCAGTTCATCCTGTCTTTCCTCTGGTTTTAAGCATCAGTTACGCAGTTTCTAAGTTAGCTTGATATTGGTTATGAGATACTTTACACAAGAACTGGTCACTAGATACTGCGGGCAGAAGCAGGTACACAGAAATTGTCAGCTCTAGGTAGGTTTTTCTCTCTCTGTTTTAATTTTAGAAACATTAATTTTTTATCATGACCATGTAGAAATCATAAAATCTAATATTTACTTAGTCTACAATATGGATAAGTTTATTAACATACCTATCCAAATAAATGCATTTGTTTAATTACATTCACAAATATATACAACCTATAAATACCACAGTAAATGTAAAGGTCTTCCCAACTCCTTCCTTTCCTATATTCTTTTCCTAGGGCTACCACAACAAATTAGCCCAAACCGAGTGTCTTAAAACAGCAGAAATTTATTCTTTTGCAGTTCAGGAGGCCAAAAGTCCGAAATCAAGATGGCTTCCTCTGGAGGCTCTAAGGAAGAAAACAACTTGCTTCTCTCCTAGCTTTTGGTGGTTGCTGGCAATCTTTGGTGTTCCTTGGTTTGTAAATGCATCCCTCCAGTGTCTCCATTGAACACTGCCATCTTCACATTGCTTCATATTTGTGTCACTCTGTGTCCTCTCCTCTTAGAAAGACACTGGCCACTGAATACAGAGCCCTAAGTGGGCAGTGTACATGTGGGGTGATTTCATCTCAAGATCTTTAATTAATTACATCTGCAAAGATCCTATTTCTAAAATAATGTCACATTCACAGGTACCACAGGTTAGGAGGTAAACATATCTTTTTGTGGGGGCAGACACGATTCAACCCACTACAGCTTCCCCTGTAGAAGGAAGTTTAAATTGGAAGTAATTTGGCATATTTTCTTTTTTTTAATACTTGGAAAAATGATCACCTGAATTAGTCTGAAGTACCTATGGTAGAAACTTAGTTTTATTTCTGTGAAATAGTTCGTTCTGGCTCTTCTGTAGATAACTTCATTCAGATTGCCTTTTGTCCAATTTCAATATAATGTACATTTTTAGCAGGTCCAGGACATAAATTTATTTGCTTGTCTTTCTAGAAGGTGGACAAGGACATTGTCAACAGACTATACCTGTCTTTTGTTCTTTATACCCTGCTCAAAGAGACCAACATCTGGAGTGTGTCTGAAAAATTTAATATGCCTCGAGGCTATATACAAAGTCTTCTCACCGGAGCTGCCTCATTCTCCTCTTGTGTGCTGCATTTCTGTGAGGTAATTCCACTGACGACATGACACATGCCTCATGCATCTTTCTGTTCTGACTGCTGCTAAGCTCATAAACCGGTTAGTCATTATTTCCTCACTGCGGACTTGTTCTATTAATACTACGCACCCAAACCGTACTTAAAATATACTTGTTTTTTTCTGCTTATGAAAGTCCTATATACTAACTTGTGGTAAAGATACAAAAATGGCAAAATCACCTAAAATATTTAGCGAACAAGTAGAAAGCACCTAGTTATGGGGCCCCTGGGTGTCTCAGTCAGTTAAGTGTCTGTCTGCCTTCACCTCAGGTCGTGATCCCAGAATCCTGGGATCGAGCCCCGCATCAGGCTCCCTGCTCAGTGGAGAGTCTGCTTCTCTCCCTGCCTCACTCGCAACCCACTTGTGCTCATCTTCTCTCTCTCAAATAAATAAATGAAATCTAAAAAAAAAAAAAAAAAAAAAAAAAAAACCTTAAAAAAAAAGAAAGAAAGCGAGCACCTGGTTACCCCTACTCATAGAACCACCACTAGTAGTGACAAGTCTTTGGAATCAACTCTTAAAACCGCAGTTCTCCATCGATACAGATTGTGGGGTATCTCTCCCCTGGTGCTAACCATGGGAAGTGTCCGATGAGTGCCTCGCCAGTACCCACCCAGCAGGCACCTTGTCACTCCTGGGACCATGCTCTCATGATCGCCGTAGTATTTTGCCGTTTTTGCTCCCAGTGCCTGGCAGCTGCTTCGGGTTTCTATGTCAAATGTACAGTTTAATTAACTCAAGAAGAAAACTTTATTTTGGCCATTTGCGTTTGGGATGCATTTGTTTAAGACTCTACTAAAACCAGCTTTCAGAGTTTCCTTAAATAGCATAGCAAAGCTTACCAGACTTTCTACTAGGATAATTTTGGGGATGAATTGATAATATAAGCCCTTTTTGGCTGCATTTAAATTTCTTCTAATTGGATGGTGTAATAATCCTTCCATATTTGTTTCTATACTCAATTTTTTAAAAACATTTTTCTCTCATGAATCTTATTTTTAAATTTGAAATCTTCATTTTCCCCATCTTAAATTTCCATATTCTATGTACGTATATGGCAGTTAATTCTGTCATATGTATTAGTGAGTAAATAATCCAGAATACTTGACTTTGGGCTGAATGATAATTATCTTAGCAAATTCGCATTTCTTTTTTTTTTTTTTTTTTGATTTTATTTATTTATTTGACAGAGAGAGATCACAAGTAGACAGAGAGGCAGGCAGAGAGAAGGAGGGAAGCAGGCTCATTGCCAAGCAGAGAGCCCGATGCGGGACTCGATCCCAGGACCCTGAGATCATGACCTGAGCCGAAGGCAGCGGCTTAACCCACTGAGCCACCCAGGCACCCCAAATTCGCATTTCTTAATATCTCCTACTTATGCTAAGTTTTAAATATTAGCTTACATTCCCTAATCATGTGCTAGCTAAGCAGTAGACAAAATTTATAGGTAGTGAGAAGCTAGCCTTTATTTTCTTAAGTTTTCTGTGTTTGTGTTTCTTCATATTTAAAGGTACTTCCCCTAAGATTCTATCCCTTTGTTTTACTTAGGATTATAAGGACTTCAGCCTTATAGAATTGTTCAAGTAAAAGAAACTATCAAATTTGAAAAACAACTATAACTTGATGGTTGATCCTAGACACAATCTGCCCGACAGCTCGTGCTCTCATGAGTGTATTTTCAGTATTTTAGAGTGTTTTTTCCTTTTTAGAAAGCTATGTAAGTGGTATGAAATAGTACATCAGTAGTATTAGTTAAAATGCCTTCAACTACGAGTAATGGGAAAACCCCACAGAGGTTTAAACAACAGCGAACCAGGATGGTCACATGTAACAGGACAGCTGGAGCCAAGGCAGTTCAGGGTTGGCGGACTGGTCGTCCTGGTCAAGGTCTTCTTCTCTTCACTCTGCCATCTCTAGTGCATTGGCTGCTCTCCTGGTGGTCACAGAGTAGCTGGCTAATGCCGCTTCATGTACCACGTGTGCTCACAGTGACACCCAGCCGTTAGAAAGTGACCTTTAAAAAACAACTACGACAGAAATTTTCAGACATAAAATAAGACAAAATAATATAGTAAATGCCCATTTACCACCCACCTTTAACCGTGATTGACCCACGTCTTCCAATATTTTTACTGTCTTAAATATTGCTTCCAGGATTTTTTTGTTTTGAATATTGCTACATCTTGCATTGGGATCCTTCCATACGTAATGTTTTGTCTTCAGGATGAACTCCCAGAGGTGGGGATTGTCTTCAGTTACTTGGGAAAGAAATTGCACGTTCACTTGCTGGCATTTTGATAAAAAATGAACAGAGCTCTTCTCAGTGGCTCGTTTTCCAACTTCCCGTCTTCTTCCTCATCCCAGAACCACTTAATCAAATCCCTCAGTCTCTGCCCATGTTTCCTTATGATAACTTTGTGTGGAATTGTTGTTTGTCTCTGGTTTTACCAAGTTTCAGAACTCACATGAGGGAACACCCTCTCTGGGCCCCTACTATGCCAACCAAGCTTAGAAATGACTTACCAGATCTAAATTCTATGTATTTCTTTGTATTTTGTAGGAACTTGAGGAGTTTTGGGTCTATAGAGCCCTTTTGGTAGAACTTACCAAGAAGTTGACTTACTGTGTCAAGGCAGAGCTGATCCCTCTCATGGAAGTGACTGGGGTTTTAGAGGTTAGTGGCTTCCCAGTTTCCCAACTGAGATGATTTCAACTAAAGAAAAGTCAGGTTTGACTATTTTGTGAAGTCTTATCACAAGGTAAATAACAACAATGGTCTTACTTCTCATTTATCATGAGAGGTTGGTTGTGTGTGTGTTTCTTTATTAAATTGTTGTCATGGCCTCCCAGAAATCCGCTGTCGATCTGGAAGATGTTCTGACGAGAAAAATCACATTTGTGGAAAAACACAACAGTAGGGATAAGAATGAGACTCCCCGAGTATATGGTCCTTAGTTTCTCTTCCTTCCTCCACTCCAGCGGAGAATTGCCTCCTGTCGGTGTAAACTCAGTGCTTGTCTCAGGAAGTGGTGGTTCGGGGGCAACAAGGCTTACTTCCATTTCCTAAGGGAGTGAGAACCAAGTCTCCTCAACTGGTTTCTCAACTTTTTGTTTTTAGCCAGCTGTTGATTTCAGCTTGTTCTGTTATTCAGTCCTTCCGTCAGAAGCGTTCTTCTGCCTGGGAACAGGCCGAACATGCACGCTCACGCACGCACCCCAGCAGTCCCCTGAGTAGTTGTGAAAACATTTTAAGGATATTGCACTAGAACATCTTGACTGGGCGTCTAAAATAATGCCCTTCACCTGAGCGCCTTGATGAATTCCTCATTCCTGATTGTAACGCGCATTGGCCGACTTACGCCGCACAGAAAGCTGTCTTGCAGTCAGATCGGGACTACCCAAATTCATATTTTAAAACTTCTCTGGATTCAGATGTGTTATCTCTTCATATTTATTATTACCTTAGTCTGTTTCTATCTCTTGCATGTGAAATTTTTCCTTCAATAAGACACTTGATTATTTTTTTCTAATCCCAAATTCTGACCCTGCTGATTTGTGTAATACATTTTAGGGTCGAGCAAAACAATTATACAACGCAGGCTATAAAAGTCTGACTCACTTAGCTAATGCAAATCCTGAAGTGCTCATAAGGACAGTTGATCATTTATCAAGACGCCAGGCCAAGCAAATCGTTTCATCAGCAAAGGTAAGCAAACAGGGGCCCCTGGGTGGCTCAGTGGGTTAAGCCACTGACTTCGGCTCAAGTCATGATCTCAGGGTCTTGGGATCGAGTCCCGCATTGGGCTCTCTGCTCAGCAGGGAGCCTGCTTCTCTCTCTCTCTCTCTCTCTCTCTCTCTCTCTCTCTCTCTCTCTGCCTGCCTCTCCATCTACTTGTGATCTCTCTCTGTCAAATAAATAAATAAAATCTTTAAAAAAAAAAAAAAGTAAGCAAACAGACCATTTTTTACCCTTCATGATATTTTGTAGTGTTACCTCCTTATACTTTGGACATAAAAGCAAAAACATTTAACTATAGACACAAAAGTATGTACTTACAATATGTGGATAAAATAGTGCATCTGTTATGCTACAAGGCTCGCTAAAACAGGAAAAGCACCTGTTAAAAATTAGGCAGTCTCAAAAGTCCCCTGAGGTACAGAGAATGCTGGAACGCCCAGAATTCTGCCTCCTCACACTTTCCACAGAAGGCTCCTCCTCAGCATCCCTGACATCTGGTCTTCCCACCTTTGTACACCTTCGTTGACAAGGAGCTTACGACCTCAAAAATTAGGTAGTTCTACCTCTGGACACTCTCTGTGTTCCAAAAAGCACCCCAGTAGTGAGGCTAACTGTTGGCCTTCTTACAATATCTACCATTATGTTGTAAGTTCTACCCTCTAGAATTAGTCTGTTTTCTTTGCTTCTATGGTTTTCTTCACATATTTGAAAACAGCTCTCTTTGTGTCCAAGCATTTCTCTTTTCTGTTTCTTCATCCATATTAAATGATGTAGTTTTAGGCAGTTACTGTCCTCCTAGTTGTCCTTTTCTAGACATGCGCCAGTTTGTCTTTTGGACCTGTCCCCGTCATAGTTGGGCTTTCTTACTTTTGGGGTATATCTGTTAGAGTCTAATTATTAGGAACAGAAAGCACACAGTAATTTGAAGAGGAAAGTTCAATATAAACAAGGTTTATATTGTAACAAGGTTATTAGTTGACTTCTAAGGGGTAGACACAACTTCAGCAACTGTGAGACGGAGTAAGGAGAAGAGCGTCTGCCCCGACCCACACCACCCGCTGCGGAGGGGATTCACTGGAGAGAGGGTGTGGCCACAGCTGCCTGGACGGGACGGCAGATACGGTGTCCAGGTACCAGAGTAGCACTGCAGGAGCCGTCAGGAAAGACACACCAAACCCGGGAAGAGAAGTCCCATCCTCCGGCAGTCCCTCCAGTGCCCTCTACTGACGAAGCTGAACGTTGTCCCAGCTGGCAAAGGGGTCTAGTGTCTTTCTCTACAAGACAGCGGGGGATGGATTTGGAGCTGAGAGACAGTAAAATTGATAACTAGTGCTCTCGCACAAGATAGTCAAGGTTCAACTTGCTTTAGTCATGGAATCAGCCATTTTTCCAAAGAGCTGTAGTTCTTTTTGGTGAAGAGTGGTATTTTAGAAACCCAAGTTTGAGCAGCTAAGTATGCTCATAACCAGAGAGAGATATCATTGTTTCTAGGTTCTTTTAGCAGAGAGAGCCCATATATGGAGAAATATATATTTTTCTCTACTTACACATAAATTGTTAAAGGCCATGAATTCGTTCAGTAACTCCAATTCTAATTTTTCCAGGTACATACGGCTGCTTAACAAAGTTTTACATCACAATTTAGCAGCTTAAAACAGCTATTTTATTGTGCTTATGTTTTTGTGGATTAGGAATTCTGGAAAGGTTTAGCTGCATGATTCTTACTTGGAGTTTCATGCAATTACAGTCAGATTTTGACTGGGGCTATAGTCATCTGAATTGGACTGAATTGGATATCCAAGATGGTTCACTCACATGGCTGGTGGTTGAAAATGGCTGTTATTTGGGGCTTTCAACTGGAGCAAGTACATATGGCCTTTCCATGGGGCGAGGGTTTCTTATGGCATGGCAGCTCAGTTTCAAGAGGAAATGTCCAGAGAGTGGGCATTTTGAGAGATCAAGGCAGAAAAGGCAAGAAATCTTCTGAACTAACCTCAGAAGTTAAGTAGTATCACTTCTGCTGGGTCCTGTTGGTTACTAGAAGACCATTAAGATCAGCCCAGATCCAAAAGAAGAGGAATTAGACCCCAGCTCCACATGAGGGCAGGACCAAATAATTTGTAGTCATCTGAATGTCTGCCCTCTGGTCACAGATTATTTACATTCCTCCCACATGCAAAATATACTCATCCTTAAAAGATTTATCCCTTTGTGGCATCAGACTCAGGCTCAAGGTCCAGTGTTTCTTCTAAATCAAGTCTAGGTGCAGGTGATGCTTCTTGAGCACAGTTTTACAGATATGTTCCTCTCTGAAGAGCTGTGAAGATGAACAATGGTGAACAGAGACAGGAGAACCACCGTGTACTGCCATTCCAAAGAGGGAACGTGTGCCACACATAGAAGCAGTTCTGGTATCCAGCCGGGCACGTGTGGCTAGTTACTTGGTTAGGACTTATTTCTCCCTGGGAATGATTCTTCCTGGCTTTGAATCGCTCATCGGATTCATTCCTTCTTTCCCATAAGGAATGGCCCATGTTTGCAGCTGGGTAGCTTTCTCAGTCTTTTCCCTGTCCATAGAAGTTCAAGGGCTCAAAGGTTCTTTTTATTTTGTACCATCTCTGCCACTTTTTATTCAATCTAGTATAATTTGTTTTAAAATATTGTATGTTTCTTATTTATCTATAGCTTAGGTTACTTTCTTTTTTTTTTTCCCCCGTATATAAGCTCTACGCTCAGTGTGGGCCTGAAGCTCATGACCCCAAGATCAGGAGTTGCAGGTTCTACCAGCTGAGCAGCCGGCCACCCTAGCTTGGGTTTCTTACAGCATGAGGCTGGGGTAAGAGCGGGAACATTCAGGAGCTCTTAGAATGGTCTCAGTCCAAGAAACTAATGCAGAAACTGCAGTTTCTTGTGACTACCCTTGAAAATCACGCAGCATCATTTCCACTACATTCCATTGGTTACAAGTGAATCCAGGTTCAAGAGAAGAATCAAATCCCACCTGCCAATGTAAACATCAAAGAATTTCCAGTCACCTTTAATCCACACTGATCCCACTACAGGACTCATTGTTGTTCTACTCTTTCTCTTATTTTTACTTCCTTTGTCCAACAGTGAGACACCCAGCTCCTGTCTTCATCAGCATACTTGTCTGTTTTGCTCAATCCTAGAATGCACTGAAAATAATTTCAGAATTGTTAAGCCATACTATTGCAAAAAAACTAATGAGTTCAATATTATATATGCTCTTTTTGTCTTTAGTCTGAGAATATATAACTGAAATAATGTATTCAAATGTCACTTTTTTAAAAAAATCTGCTTCACTGTGGTTATGTAATTCATTTGAAGAGCAGTTAGATTCTGTTTGTATCCCATTTTAGTTCCCCCCCATCCTTGTGAATTTTTAGTATGTAAAACATGAATGTATTTTCTGTATTTTTTTTAAAGATTTTATTTATTTATTTGACAGAGAGAGATCACAAGTAGATGGAGAGGCAGGCAGAGAGGGAGGGGGGGAAGCAGGATCTCTGCCGAGCAGAGAACCCGATGTGGGACTCGATCCCAGGACCCTGAGATCATGACCTGAGCCGAAGGCAGCGGCTTAACCCACTGAGCCACCCAGACGCCCTATTTTCTGTATTTTAAATTGAAGTAGTTTTACTAGGATATCTTTACTTTCTTTTATTTCTGGAAGTTTCTTTGGACTGTAGTTTTATTTTTGTAATTAATTGATTTATTTGAGAGAAAGAGAGCATGACACACTCACATACACGTGTGATTCGGGGGGTGCAGCGGGAGAGAATCTCAAGCAGACTCTCCACTGAGCATGGAAGGAACGCAACCCGGGGCTCGGTCCGTTGACCCGTGAGATCCCCATCGGAGCTGAAGCCAAGAGTCAGATGCTCTACTGACCAAGCCACCCAGGCGCCCCAGATTGTAGTTTTAAATATTAGTTCAGTATGATCCACTATTTCATTTTTCTTTCTTAGCAACGCTAGTTATATGTATGTTGAATCTTCTTTGCCCATCTTCCATTTCAATCTCTCTGACCCTTTTACCTTTTTTTTAAAGATTTATTTATTTATTTGAGAGAGTAGGGGTGGGGGTTACAGAGGGAGAGGGAGAGAGAAACTTTAAGCAGACTCTGTACTCAGCATAAAGCCCGATGCAGGGCTCTATCTCAGGATCCTGAGATTATGACCTGAACCAGATGCTTAACCAACTCTGCCATCTGGCGCTCCTTTACTTTTTTCTTTATCTCATTTTCATCATCTTGTTTTCTTGTCCCACCCGTTCCTGCTCTCATGACCCTAATTAAGTTTTATTATAATCTACTCTTCTTTGATCACTTTGTTGGTTTTTATTTCTAATATGATTTTGCCTGTTTCTTCCACTTCTTACCTGAGCTTACTCAACTTTGGTTTCATTTCTTCCTGTTCTGGGTCCATCTCTTTTCCTAGTTTGGGACTTACTCAGATGTGTTTCCCCCTGTATCTCCAAATAATATTTATTTTTTTAATAATACTTAATAATATTTTATATTTTATATTAAATAGTTTATTTAATAATATTTAATTCAGTTTGGAATGTTGCATTACAGTTCTTCTGCTTCATAGTTTGCTTTCAGGAGAATAAATTTTCATGAGCTGAAGAGCTTTGATTCTCATTTTCTGTTTTATTTTATACAGTAATTCAATATGATAAGAACTGCTTGTGCCCCTGCGTGTCTCAGAGTCAGCCGTCCAGGGTGGCTGATGAGAATTCTGGCTTAAAAGTCTCTTCTGTCCACGTAGCAAAGGATAGTTTAGTGAACGGCTTGGGGTGGGAGGGGAGTGCAAAGAAAAGTGTGTTCTTTGATTTTTTTGTATTTCCTTTTGTCCTACAGCATCCTAAATTTTAC